GTTTTCAATATGTTTGTTGGACACTCGATTTTGAAATCATTCCGAAACCGACGTTTCTTGAAGAATTTCAACATGCGCGCGCGACGACCCGCGCGTGTGCACTTCGTCTCAGTTGTTTTGCAAGGGGATCTTGGAAACTGATGATTTTTGATAAACGAGTGCGCGCGCAGAGAATCTGTTGCAGAGGATGGCGGGGGGGGGGGTCGATACCAGCTCGGCTTGGATGGTGCGGGTTCATATTTAGAATGGACGATGGGGCAAAGTCGCATGCAAATTTCAATACGAAAAGGTCGGCCGATAAACCGAGGGGGGGGGGGTCGAGTCGATTCTCTTTTAGAAAGGAAAACACATGGCCGAATATGGCCCATCAAGAGTCCCCCAAGTGGCTTAGATTTGGACCAAGCGGGCTGCGCCCACTAGCCGGGTTTACGACAGCCACTTAGGGCACTTGTAGCCCACTTATGCATTACTTTGTGCCAGGGACAGCCCACCTTAGCATCCGCTCGTGACCCCCGCGTTTCCTTAGCAACCCCCGCGTTCATCCCGGAAAGACCGAGCTGGGATCGAGGATCGGGCTCTGGAGATTCGGGTTTTGAGCAAGGGTCGAGCCTGTGACGGGAGAAGAGGGGCAGAGGCAGGGATGCAGAGATCGTTTCGATTCCTCCGGTTCGATTTGATTGGATTTCGGTGGCTTCCGATTCCGATTCGATTCGACTTCGGATTCCGATTGTGGCTCCGATTTCTCGATGGTGGTCTTCTAGCCTGCAGATTTCCGCCGGTTCGACTTTTCCAGACTCGGCTGCCGATTTCCCTCGATCCGATTCATTTCGACCGCCGATCCGACTTATCGTTTCGGTTTGTGGCTCTCCTGGGGATGGGATGATAGGGGCGGAAGTGAGGTGAGGCGACGCGGGGTGCTGTCTCTTGAAAGCGAGTGCCCGACACCACAGGATGGCTTGGGAAACGCATCTCGTCGGAGATCCAGTTTCGCACGGGCACCGCTGCTGCTCTCGCGAAAGCGAGCGGGCGAACAGTGTTGGAGGCACAGTAGCTGGTATTCCAAATCCTTTCTTAATCGTCCCCTGGGTCCGGTTTTTTAAGGCGCCTTTTTTGTAATTGGGGAGGTCGGTGTATTGGGGCGCTTTCTTTGGATTGGAGCTTAGGGGTCCGGTTTACTAAGGCGCCCCGTCGAAGAGGGGGTCCCGGAGTATTAGGTCGCATTTGGAGGGGGGTCGTTTTTTTGGGGGGCGGGTCGATTATTAGGGGATTTTGAGTACTCTGACTTGTTGCCGCTGCTCTTGCTCATGTGCGCACTCCCGGTGCCAAGGGGCGCACCGCGCGTGGAGCTCGAGCAGTGGGGCCGCCTTGGTCTCACGTGTGCGAAAAAAAGGCCGAGCCGGGATCGGAGGATCGTCGGCGTCACCCTAACAACGGACGCCTCGAGGCAGGTGTCAATGCAGACGGGGGTCAGCCAGAGCGCCGGATCTTGCAGGATCCTGCAGGGCCAGGGTCGCATTGCCCCGGGTTTGGGTGAGGATCTCGCAGGATCTTGCAGGAGCCTTCGCATTGATCCGGGTTTGGGTGCAGGATCTTGCAGGATTTTGCAGGATTCTGCAATGCCTGAATGACCCGGGTCTGGATTGACCCTGGTCCGAAGATCCCCGATAGCATATTGGTGCTATGTGTGCGTCGCCCTCCCTGGGGCGACGCGCGCACCGAGACATCTCGTAGTATGTGCGTCGTGGCGGGCGGTTCCTGGCCGCGCCGCTCGGGGAATTTCTGTATGTTCGGGTCTACTGTATGTTCGGTCGGACGCGCGCCTCCGAGGAGGACTTATAGAACTACCGTGGTTTTCGAAGAAACACTCATCTCGAATGCGTGTTGAAGCGGGTCCACCCCCCGGCCCCAATTACAAAGTTCGGGGCGGTCGACGCGGGGGAGTGCGAGTCGTTTCTAAAAAAACGCCCACAGTTGCAAGTCGCGGTCTGCTCCCTGAGGTGAACACTGAAATTTGGGGACGCGGAGGGCGCTCTTGCGCCATCATCCCGGCGTTGTACTTGGGGCTGTTTTTTTCCGAAAGCGCCGGTAGTATGTCCCTGTGCGTGCAAGGTCGGGCCAGGACTGCTCCTGCGTCGTACGGGCGCGTGGCCCTTCTCCGACCGCGAGAGCCTGCTGCGCCGGGGATCGGGCCCCGGTGCCGCAGATCGCAGCCCGCAGCCCCCCAGGGGAGAGAGGAGGAGGGGAGGAGAGAGGGAGGCAGGGAGGCAGGGAGGAGGGAAGGAAGGAGGGACGGAGGCCGCAGCGCCACACACTCAAAACGAGAACCCAACGCGGGAGGGCTGGGAGAAGAGGTCGAGCCGGGATCGGAGGCTCGGGCCAGGATCGGGAGCCTTGAGACGGGGGTCAGTGCAAACGGGGGTCAGCCAGGGCACCGGATCCTGCAGGATCCTGCGAAGACCCCCCCTGGCTGACCCGGGTCAGCGAGCCGCTCGTGGCCGCGAGGCGGCCGCGCATATTGGCTGACCCCGGTTGGCGAAGCCCTGCGTTGCAGTTGTTGTTGACTGCATTGCAACTCTTTGGTGTCCTGCTGACCCAGGTTTGGGTTGACGCGGGTCAGAAGATCCCCGACAGGACTTCTCCTGCGTCATGCGGGCGCCCTGGCCCTTCTCGGACCGCGAGAGCCTGCTGCGCCGGTGGCAGCTGCCCCTGCCGGCGGAGGGGGGCGCGTGCGCCGGGCTGGCGGTGGTGATGCGCTCCTTCGAGGAGCGGGCTCGACGAGGGGAGGGCCTGTTCGGGGGAAGGCCAGGCCTCCCCAAACTTGGGGGCGACTGTCCATGGAGAGGAGGCGTGTTGCCAAATCATGTCCAGGTGCTTCGAGGGTGTTTTGAACGGTCTTGGGCATGAAGAAAACGGCATGCTCTAAACATGTTTAGAGAGTCGTCCAAGCAACACTGGCACATGTTTTCACTCAGCGATAGGGTTGTTAGGGTGTCCGTTGTCATGGCATCCACAACCCAAATCTGGATTGCTGATCCGATCCTCGTCCCCATCGGGCCAGGGCATCTCAGCCCCACCAGCACACCGTCCCTGTTGGGGATGTGCTCATCGAAACCCGAACGGAACAGTCCATTCCCGCTAGCGAGAGGGAGGGTACATCGGCCAGTGCGGTGTGGGTCACGCCAGTGGGGATAGGGATCTGCTAACCGATGCTCACGAATTCGTTCCGAGTAGATGGGGTCGGAGGATCTATCGCCGATGCGTTTCGACGTGGAGCCCGATCTTCTCCGCGCTAGCGTCGCCGATGCACCGCCGAAGTCGCCGATGCATCGCCGATCCATCGGCGGTGCGGCGCGATCCTCCGACCCCATCTACTCGGAGCCCACCCTGGAGGCCTCTGGAAAGGGAGGATCGCGGAAGGGAAAGGGAAATGGAGGAACAGGAATACGGAAAAGGGTTGGAGAGGGAGGGTGCGATGGGAAAGAAGAGGGAAGGAGGGGATCTGGGCAAGGGGAAGGGAAGGGTGAAGAGAGTCGTGGAAGAGACAAGGCAGAATCAGCATCTCTCGGAGCTCCGCACGGATGCCTTGGAGATGCGCAGTCGTGATGCGCTCCCTCGGAGGTCGGGCTGGACGAGAGGGATGGACAGGGAAGCTGCGCAGATCTGGAGAAAAATCTGGATCCCAGAGGCCAGATGCTTCTCCATATCCACTACGCCTCGGCCTCTCTTGTGCGCCCTTCCAGAACGTCTAAGACGCATCGGATGCGGATGTCATTGCTGCCCGCGCGCGACCTCCTCGTGGGTGGGCTCCCTGCGCAGAAGCTGCGGGGGGGGCCTCCTCAGCCTCGACTCCTGCTCCATTATTCAGCGTCCAGGTTTACCTCCCAGTGCTAGAGTGGGGGCCCATGCCAAGAAACACCCTTGCTTGCCTCCAGGGTGCCCTGAGTCTCTTGGGTCTCGATGCTTTTGCGATGGAGGGCGCGACGTTCCCACATCAAAAATCAATGGACGTCCTGGGGTTTCAGGGCTGGCCACCACTGTCCACTGTACTGCTCTTGCACCGGCTCCGTGACACGGCTCCGTGATACATGCATTTGCTTCTCCGTGCGATCCCAGGGTTTTTGCATCTAGCCTGGCAGGCTCTGTGGGGCTGCGTGCGATGGGCAGGCGGAATGGAGAGCTGAAGTGCTCTGCGGGGGGGTGGGGGGTGGGATTCTTCGGCGTCCAGATGGCCTCGTGGCCTCGGCATGACCCCCACATGGCCTCGGAGTGGCCCCAGATGGCCTCGGGAAGGCCTTGGATAGCCTCGGAGCGGCCTCGAGTGGTCTCGGACATGGCACGGCGCGGATGGCCCGTTCAGCGGGGCAGAGAAGGTCCCCAGCTGTTGCAACATGAGGGAAAGACGAAGAAGAAGAAGAAGAAGGCGAAGAAGAAGGCGAAGAAGAAGGCGAAGCAGGCGAAGAAGAACAAGAGGACGAAGAAGAAGGCGAAGAAGAAGAAGAATAAGACTGGCATGAACAGGCATTTCCGTAGCCCCGCGCAGCTTCCTGGGATCGGCACTGTGCCTTGGCCGGCGCCTCTGGCGCGGACCTCCGAGAGTGTATGCTGATGCAGTTTTCCCCCGGCGGCAGCGATCGGGCGAAGAGAGCTATGCACATGCACCGATCCTGGCAAGGCCCATCCTTGACCCAGGATCGGTGCATATGCTTTCCTGGCCAACTGGCCACGGCAGGAGGGCACATGCACCGATCCTGGGCTCAGGATGGGCCTTGCCAGGATCGGTGTATGTGCATAGTTCTCTTTCCTCTAAGCGAAATCTACAGTGGAGGCCAGTCCTCAAGAGACCTTCCACAAGAAACCCAATCCTGAGACCCCAGGGCGTCCATTGGTTTCTGGTGTGGGAACGTCGCGCTCTCCATCGCAAAGCCATCGAGACCCAGGAAACCCAGGGCATCCTGGAGGCAAGCAGGGTGTTTCGTGGCATGGGTCTCCACTGCAACGGGATGCCAGGCACGGTGCCGCCACCAAGTTGCGCGATGTTGCCCATACCTGGAGACGAGACACGGCGCGATGTTGCCCATCCCGCCGCTGTGTCTGGGTTGTGGGTATGAAGCCTATTCGATGGTCGTCGGGATTTCTTGGGGACCTTTACAGGGCCTCTTGGATGCAGCTTGAGGCCTCTTGGGTGCAGTTTGGAGCCTCGTGGGGTCGCTGTTGGGTCTCTTGGGGGCTTCTTGGAGCCTTTTGGGGCCTCTTTGATGCATCTTGGGGCCTCCTGGGGGCCTCTTGGGGCGGAACGCTACGATTTGTGGTTAGTGTTCCTTCTCTTGGGCCACTTTTGGGGCCGTCATGCGGCCCTCTTGGGCCGTCTCGGGCGCCTCCTGGGCCGTCTTGGGGCGCTCGAGGGCCGTCTTGGGGTTCTCTGGGCGGCCTCTTGGGCAGTGCTGGGGTGGTATTCGGGATCTCGGGAACGCCAGAATCTTTCAAACAACGAAGGCAAATCAATGTGTGGTGACTTTTCAGGTCCTGTTGGGAGGCATCTTCGAGGCCTCTTGGGACATCTTGGGGGCCTCTCAGGCCATCTTGAGGCCACGTAGGGCGTCTTGGGGCGATCTTTGAGCGGCCGGGGCGTTTGGGGCCGTCTTGGGCTTTTTTGGGGCCCTGCTGGCCTGTTTTGGATTTCCCATCGCTCCGAAACAGTCACGCGAGAGACAGCGAGAAGACCCAGGATAAGATTTCGCGATGTGGGGGTTTGGGATTCTGAACGACTCCTCAGGAGTAAGGACTGAGGTTGAGAGGATGATTGCGCGAACCCGAGGGCACGCCCACTCCGTGCCCAGAAGCACGATGGCGGATCTACAGGACCATGATAATTCGATGATCGTGGTTCTGCGGGATCGCTATGCACTTCCGAGCTCCAATGGGGAAGCCGACTGGCAGTATTATAAAAGGTTTTCTGTTGGAATCGTGGGGGGTGGCAGTGACATGGGTTAGCGGTTGGTAGATTGGGCGAGGTGGCGAACATTATCCAGGAGCCGCGATGACCCCATCCCCGAAGGGGAAAAATCGGGTTGGACAAGGAATCGCGATGGACCATCTGCTGCCTAGAAGGCGGGGGGGAACTATGAGCTAGGAGACCCCATGCGAGAAGTTATCCGGGTCGGTGGCGGCGAAGCCAGCATCGTTATTTTTGGGCCCTGAGGTGCCGCTTGTGAGGCGGTCCGGTCGGTCTCGCCTGGGACTTCCCTGCAGTTGTGGGCGTCGAGATGCCGCGCGAGAGATAGTCCAGCCCATTTCGCTTCGAGATCCTCGCCGCTGTCCTGAGGCGGTCCAGCCCTTTTGGCTTGAGACATCCTCGCAGTTGTAGGCTTGGAGGCACGCGAGGGGGCTGGCGGTACCAGGCGCGGCAGGGGCGTGGTGCAGGGTGCCGGCGAGGTTTTTGCAGGGTGGCCCCTGAGAGCCCAGGCCCAGGACACCAGGGGGCTGGCGGTGTCAGGCGCGGTGGGGGCGTGGTGGGGGGTGCCGGCGAGGTTTTTGCAGGGGTGGCACCTGAGAACCTAGGCCCAGGACGCCAGGGGGCTGGCGGTGTCAGGCGCGGTGGGGGCGTGGTGGGGGGTGCCGGCGAGGTTTTTGCAGAGTGGGTGGCCCCTAAGAACCCAGGCCCAGGACGCCAGGGGGCTTGCGGTGTCAGGCGCGGCGGGAGCGTGGTGGAGTGGGTGGCCCAAGAGATACTAGGCCCAGGACGCCACCGGGCTGGCGGTGTCAGGCGCGGTTGGGGCCTGGTGGCCCCTACGAGCTTAGGCACAGGATGCCAGGGGGCCGGCTGTGGCAGGCGCAGGGGGGGGGCGTGGTGGGTGGCGCCGGCGAGGTTTTTGCAGGGTGGGTTGCCCTTCAGAACTGCGCCCAGGATGCCAGGGGGCTGGCGGTGTCAGGCGCGGTGGGGGCGTGGTGGGGCGTGCCGGCGAGTTTTTTGCAGGGTGGGTGGCCCCTAAGAACCTAGGCCCAGGACGCCAAGGGGCTGGCTGGCGGTGTTTGACGCCGTGGGTGGAGGTGCCGGCGCGAGTTTTGCAGGGTGGGGAGGCCCTAAAGCACCTTGCCCAGGAGGTCGAGGTGGCTGGGGATGTCAGACGCGGTTGGGGGGGTACCGGCGCGAGTTTTTGCAGGGTGGGGAGGCCCCAAAACACAACGCCCAGGAGGTCGAGGCGGCTGGGGATGTCAAACGCGTGCCGGCGCGAGTTTTTGCAGGGTGGGGGTGCCCTAAAACACCACGCACGGGAGGTCGAGGTGGCTGGGGCGCCCAGGAGGTCGAGGTGGCTTGGGTCAGACGTGGTGGGGGCGTGGTGGGGAGTCCCGCCCCTTTACCTCACACGCCTCTGGGGTCGGCGGATATTCAAAAATAGTAGAAACGTCGTCCTCCTCGAAACATCTGCCTCCGTGATCGAGGGCTTGGAGGCGAGGGGCCCGGGCCCCGTCATATCGTGACAGCAAAAAACAAGGTGGCCACTTTTGTGCTGCAGTTCTCGACCTCTTCGGGGTCCTCGTCAGGTGCTCTCATGGATTTCATGTCGTCTTCCTCCGAGGCGGGAGTTGATGTATACATGACCTCCGCCTGGAGGATCAGTTTTCGGGGACCTCGGCAGGCGGTGGATATGGACATTTTCGGGCCCCCTGGGGCCATGCATATGTATACAGATATGAAAGAGCGTGTTCTACTGCTGCTGGCGGAAAACCAGGGGGGTCACTACCGGTTCGAACCCCTCCCCCCCCCTTCGGAAAACCGGGGGTGGTCACTACCGGTTCGAACCCCTCCCCCCCCCAGTCCATCATGAAACAAAAAGGGAGGGGTCACTACCGGTTCGAACCCCCCCCCCCTCGAAAACGGGGGAGGAGGGTCACTACTGGTTCGAACCCCCCGCCCCCTCGAAAACCGGGGTGGGGTGCGGACACTGGTGGGGACGGTGGTGGTGGGGACAGTGGTGAGGGGACAGCGGGACAATGGTGGGGACAGTGGGACAGTGGTGGGAACGGTAGTGGTGGGGACAGTGGTGAGGACAATGGTGGGAACAGTGGGGATAGTGGGGCAGTGGTGGGGACGGTGGTGGTTGGGACAGTGGTGTGGGGACAGTGGGAATGTGGTGGAATCAGTGCGACAGTGGAGGGTACAGTGGTGGTGGGGACAGTGGTTCAGGCGGTGGCGAGGACGGCGGGTGGACAATGGGACAGGTACAGTGGGGACAGTGATGGGGACAGTGGGGACAGTGGTGGGAACAGTGGGACAGCTCAGTGGGACAGCGGAGGAGTCAGTGGGACAGTGGGGACAGTGGGGATCGTCGAACGGTGGTTGGGGCCGTGGAGAAAGTGGGGAGAGTGGAACCGTGGTGGGGACAGTGGTGGGGACAGTGGGGACAGTGCGACAGTGGTGGGGGCACTGGTGGGGACAGTAGGGACGGTGGTGGAACCAGTGGGGACAGTGGTGGTGAGGACAGTGGTGCTGGGAACAACAGTGGGGGATGTGATGCGGACGGTGGTAGGGACCGGGAGTCGTTTGCTGGCGGTGAGTTCGAACCGGTAGTGACCCCCCCCGGTTTTCGAGGGGGGGGGGAACCTTTTTTCGAGGGGTAGGGGGGGGGGGAGCCCCCGGGTTCCGGGTTCCGGAGGAAGAGGTGGGGGAATTTTCCACAGTAGAGCGGCGGTGGATCACGCTGTCTCTCACATTTATTATTATAATATATATATATATATATAGATCGGAGTGTGTATATATATAAATGTATGTATGTATGTATGTATGTATGTATGTATGTATGTATGTATGTATGTATGTATGTATGTATGTATGTATGTATGTATGTGTATATATATGTGTATGTATGTATGTATGTATGTATGTATGTATGTATGTATGTATGTATGTATGTATGTATGTATATGTATATGTATATGTATATGTATATGTATATGTATATGTATATGTATATGTATATGTATATGTATATGTATATGTATATGTATACATATATATATATATATATGAGGTGAAGGGGTATGATCGAAGTGCAACGGAGAGCCCCCCTACTGGGAAATCAGTTTCGGTGTCGTGTTCGTGCGTGCCGTGCGTGCGGGCGGGCGAGGCGAAGCTGCGTGGGCGGGCGAGAAATAAGTCTCCTGTAGCTGAGGCGCGGCCGGACCGAAGGTCTCCCTTCCGGCAACCGGTGCCCCGCGGTGTCCTGCCGGTGTCCCCCTCGGGGGCTGGTGGCGCGCGGTGTCCCGCCGGTGTCCCGCCGGTGTCCCATCGGTGTCCCGATGATGATGATGATGATGATGATGATGATGATGATGATGATGATGATGATGATGATGATGATGATGATGGTGATGATGGTGATGATGATGATGTTGATGATGTTGACGATGTCGATGACGATGGTGATGGTGGTGATGATAATGGTGTCCCGGTGATGATGGTGATGATGATGGTCGTGATGTTGACGATTGAGATGATGATGATGATGATGATGATGATGATGATGATGATGATGATGATGATGACGCTGGCGGTAATGATGATGGCGCCCCGATGATGATGTTGATGATGATGTTGATGATGATGGTGCCCCGATGATGATGATGATGATGATGATGATGATGATGATGATCTTGATGATGATGATGTTGATGATGCTGATTATCCTGATGTTGGGGATGATCAGATGATCTGACGATGATGATGATGAAGGTGATGATGATGGTGTCCCGGTAATGATGAGTTTAATGATAATGTTGATGATGATGATGATGATGATTGCGCCCCGATGATGATGATGATGGTAATCATGATGATGGCGATGATGGTGTCTCGATGATGATGATGATGTTGGTGATGAGGATGCTGAAGTAGTAATGATGGTGATTTTGATGATGGTGACCCAATGATGGTGATGCTGATGTAGCTGTTGCTGATGATGATGGTGTCCCGATGATGTTGATGCTGATGAGGGTGATGATGATGATGATGGTGACGATGATGGTGGTGTTCCGCTGGTGATGATGATGATGATGCGGGTAATGATGACGTTGCTCATGATGATGGTGTCCCGATGATGATGATGATGTTGATGATGTTGTTCATGATCATGATGATGCGATGATGATTGTGATGATGGTGGTGTTCCGATGATGATGATGATGGTGTGCCGATGATGATGATGCTGATGATGCTTATGGTGGTGACCATGATGGTGTCCCGATGAGGATGTTGATGATGATGGTGATGATGCTGATGATGTTGCTGATGATGGTGACGAGGTGGTGATGATGATTGTGTCCCGATGATGTTTTTGATGGTGTTGATGACGTTGACGACGGTGATGTTGATGATGTTGATGACGTTGATGGTGGTATCGAGGGCGATATCGATAGTGAGATCGATAGTTGGACCGAATGTGACATCGATTGTGATATATATATATATATACAGTGAGATTGATAATGAGATCGATTGTTGGATCGATCGTCGAATCGATTGTGAGATCGATCGAATGAAATGGATCGAGTGCAATCGATTGTGATATCGATCGAGTGACATCGATCGAGCGAGACCGATAGTGATATCGATAGTGAGATTGATAGTGAGACCGATCGAGTGGGACGTTGGTTCCTCCCCCCCGAACCTCCTTATCACCGAAGGGTTGTCGTTTTCGGTGTATATATATATATATATATGCATGTTCATATCTATATACATACCCATATCCATATCCATATCCACCGCCCGCTGGGGCACCAGGACTTCGGTCCCCAGGCGGTGGATGTGGCTAAATTTCCGCCTCGCACCTCCGCCGGGGGGCGCAGGGGACATGAGCCCAGTTGCTGCGGCCCCCCTTTGAGCTGACCCCCCCACCCGTCGTCCGACCAGACAGGACCCTGAGCTGCTGCCTCCCAGGGAGGATCGGGTGCGCTCGTTCGTCAGCAAGGCCGGAGGAGGGCCAGCCAAGACAGCTCGGGGGCGTCGAGGCGGGGGCCACTGCAAACGGGGGTCAGTCAGAGCGCCAGATCTTGCAGGATCCTGCAGAGCCAAGGTTTCATTGACCCGGGCTCGGGCGCAGGATCCTGCAGGATCCTGCAAGATGTTGCAGGATCATGCAAGGCCTGATTGAGCCGGGTTTGTATCGACCCTGGTCAGTAGATTCCCGAACAGCGTCGGCCTTCCCCAGCGTTTGGTCGAAGACGGGACATCTGCTTAAATAGAATTTGTCGGGGCTCCGTGGGATTTCTTGGAGCCGCGCTTCGGCCCTGATGGCGGCGCCTCTGGCGCCGCCCATGGCGCGCTCCGCGCGCCAGGGAGGGGAGTCCAGCGTAGACCCGAGAAATCCGCGCGGCCCTTCCGAACGTTTTTATGCTTCTGCAGTTTCTGTTTGCTCCATTTGGGCCTTCGGCGGGCTTCTCGTCGCGACGGCTGGGCCCGCGCCGAAACTTGGTAAGGACAGATCCCAGCAGGGTTCCATGGACAGGACCCGGCTCTGAGCGCCAGTGGACCGGGCCGGCGAGCCGCCGTTGTATCCCGGCCGGCCCCTCCTCCGACAAGAGCGCCAACCTCCTGCGGCCCATCAGCCAGGACTCCGAGGTCGGGCTGGACGTCTCCACCTGCCAGCAGATCGACCTGGGCGGCCTGTGCCCCGCCTGGGCCCAGAGGTTTTGGGACGGGGCCAGAGCGATGATGAATCCGTCCCAGAGCGTGCCCGAACGCTCTCAGAGAAGGCCGCGGCGCCCGATGCATCCTCAAGAGCCGCTGGACCTCGGGGATTCTCGACCATCCTCGCCCGATGTTTTCCTCGTCCTGGCTTCGTCTTAGGTTCCTGACCAGGTTCGCGGTGAGCCGTGCCATCCAGTGGGGGGAGCAGATCCGCAGCCAGTGCCGGTTGCTGGAGGAGGCGCGCCAGGGGGTCCCCCGCGCAGGGCCCGCGGCCGTGCCGCCTCCCGTCGAGGAGAGCGCCCGTGCCGCAGAGTCCGTGGACCGCCTCGAGCGAAGCCGAAGCCGCGACCAGGAGCCCATGTCTGGCGAGGAGGTCCGAAGAACAAAACAACGGCATAAGTAAACATAAACTGTCGGAGGTTCGCGCGGCTTTCGTGGAGTTGCGCGGGAGCCCCCTCCCTGGCGCGCGGAGCGCGCCAGGTGCGGCGCCAGAGGCGCCGCTGGAGGAGTCCAGCGCCAATCCAAGAACTCCGCGCGGAGCGCCAAGAGTTGATGGTTTTGCCGTTTGTTGTTGTCCTTGGAGAGGTGCTGTCCTCCATGCAGGGCCCGAGAAGCCAGGACAGTGCGGGCCAGGACCTTGAAGCATCCGGCTGGGGAGGACCGAGGCAGGATATAAGATATAAGTATACTGCCCGGGCTCACGGCTGCAGTTCTCCCGGGCGCGCCGGTGCCCATGCTTTTCAAAGTCCCGGGCTACGGGGCCCTGTTTGTTGTTGTTGTTTGTTGCTCCCCCGTGTTGTTGTTGTTATTGTTGTTGTTGGTGGTGGTGGTGTTGTTGTTGTTGGTGTTGTTGGTGTTGTTGTTGTTGTTGTTGCTGTTGTTGTTGTTGTTGTTGTTGAACTCTCATTCTTGAAGAATAATTATTGTTGATCCCCCCCCACCAGTGCACATTGATTTTTTCGATTGAAGTGCCACCCCCGGGGCTCGCACTTTGTTTTTTCTCAAGGAAAGTCTTCCTGCTCAAACTGTGCCCCTGCCCCCCGGGCTACAACAACAACGGCTCCCGCCTGAGACTTCCTCGATTTTTACTCAGGACCCCGCTCCCGCCTGAGACTTCCGCGCAATTTACTCAGGAAAGGCGCTCCCGTCTGAGACTTCCGTGCAATTTACGTGGGAACGGCGCTCCCGCCTGAGACTTCTTCGAATTTTACTCGGGACCCCCGCTCCTGCTTGACATTTCCGCGCAATTGACTCAGGAACGGCGCTCCCGCTTGAGACTTCCTTGCAATTTAGTGAGGACCCCCGCTCCCGCCTGAGACTTCCGTGCAATTTGCTCAGGAACGGCGCTCCCGCTTGAGACTTCCTCGCAACTTAGTCAGGGCCCCCGCTTCCGCCTGAGATTTCCTCACAATGTACTCAGGACTGCGCTCTCGCGTGCGACGTCCTCACAAACTATTCTGGAATTGCGTTTCGGCGCTCAGGAACCACGCACGCGCCAAGGACGCCTTCACAACGTGGTATCTTCCCTCTTCCTTCGTCCTTCCCCCTCCCCTTCCTCCCACTCTCCCTCGTTCTTCCCCTCCTCCTCTTGCAGGGCCCGTGCCAATTCCAATGGCGGGCAGAGAGATGTACGCCCCCGAAGGATTGTCCGCCCGTTCCGGTTTGCCCGTACGTCTAAGCCCGCCGGCCCCAGCAAAGAGAAATAATCCCCCCGAAACGGGTGTGATCGAAGTCGAAGAGGGCGGGCATCGAGGGTGTAGGGCATACGTGTTGAATGACTCGCGGGCAAGTAAGAGCGCACAGCCTTAAAATGGTTGTTGTTGTTGGTGTTGTTGTTGTTGTTGTTGTTGTTGGTGTTGTTGTTGTTGTTTCGTTTATGTTTATATATTGTTCGATAACGATATGTATATATACATATATATACATATATACATACAAATATATACATACATACCGATCGAATTATAGTCATACCGATTGATCGATATACATTTATATATATGTATATACACATACACACATATATATATATGTGTACATAAAAAAACTTGTCTAACACATCGAGAATTCAATGTTGCGATAGGCCCGGATGGTTTTTCAAGGCATTGTCCCGTGTTGCGGAAGGCCCGAAAGGTTGTGGAAGGCCCAACCGCGTTTGGCGGAAGGCCCGGACGGTTTGGGAAGGCCCCGCCGTGTGTTGCGGAAGGCCCGGGTGGTATGGGAAAACCTGGTTCCGCATTGCGGACATTTTGACCGTCTTTTAAGGCCCAGCTGCGTTTTGCGGAAAATCCGGATGTTTTGGGAAGGAACGGAGCGGCTGCGTGCTGCGGAGGGTCCAGATGGCAATCGTTAAACTGCAAGCCGCGGGCGGTGCAACGCCCGTACTCCGTGGCGCTTGGCGGAGCGTTCTGCGAACCTACCCATACAGCGTGTGCCGCACTGACGAAACGCGTGGCGCTGAGGAGGAATTCGCCCTCCGCGCGTGTACCACCTCGGCCGGGTGGTTTTGACAGAGGAATAGAACCGTTAACCTGAAGGTCAGCCGTGGGATCCCCCATGGACTCCCGCATGCCGTGAAGCTGCCACTCGCATGAAAATGCGCTCACGGCGGGCCCCATCGAGCCTTCTGGACGTGCTGCGCGTGCCCCCAGAGCCTTTCACAGGGCCTCAGGGCTTCCCCCGCGCGTTTCAGGGCCTCCCGCGCGCATTCCAAGGCGTTTCCACGGCACCCCAAAAGCTCCCATGGCGCTCCCAGGACGCTCCCAAACGCTCCCAAGCGCCCCCAGGCGCTCCCAGGCGCTTCCAGGCGCGTTCCCACGTGCTCTCAGGCGCTCCCGGGCGGCCCCAGGCGCTCCCTCGCGCCCCAGCGCTCCCAAACGCTCCGAAGCGTTCCCAGGCGCTCCCAGGCGCTCCCACGCGCTCCCACGCGCTCACAAGCGCTCACAAGCGCACCCAAGCGCTCCGTCCGCATTGCCGTCGGCCCCCCGTGGACTTCTGCGCCTGCAAGCGCCCCCCGCCGCTCGACGGCGCCTCCATGCGCTCCCAGGCGCTCCCAGGCGCCCCCCGGCGCTCCCAGGCGCTCGCAGGCGTTCGCGCGCGCCCCCCGGCGCCCCCGATCGCTTCCAAGCGCTTCCGTGCGCCCCCAGGCGTTCGCGCGCGCCCCCTTGCGCCCCCAGGCGCCAGGAGCTGCCGCAGCCACGCCCGCGAATCGTAGCGAAGGGGTGCGGGCCCGCCGCGAAGTTCGCGCCGATGGCGGCTGCGCCGATGACTGCAATCGCTTCAGCGAGGGCCGAGGGCCACGCCGGCGGGGAAACCCCGCGCCGAGGGCGAGTGCGATTGTCGCCCGCGTCGCCGTCAGCCCCGCGCAGCGCGCGTCGCTCGCGCAGCCGGGCCCCCGTGGACTTCCGCGCCCGCGGCAGCGCCGCGGCGTAATCAAAGCCGGAGGCCACGACGACTAGCTTGGCAAGACGAGCTCGTGCGCCTGCGCAGAGCGCTTCGCGCGCGTGCCCAAGCGCACGCACACAGCCCGTGCCGCTTTGGCCGGCTCGCAACAGCACGTCCGCTCGCGCGCCGAACGCGACGGCCTTGTCCTGATGGGGGGGGTGAGGGTAGAAGCCGCAACCATGGAAAGGCTTCGCTGCGGGTGGTCTGGGGCGGAAGTGCAACGCGCAGGGCGCGCGCGGCAAGGGCGGCGACCCCCCCGACGCTCGCGGTGAGGGGGGGGTCGCAGACAGCGCGCGTTTTCTCCGATGCAGGCCCTAAGCGCTGAACCATAAAGTCACGCGCGCCTCGTCGCGGATCCGCTTGCCCGCCACGCAGCCTCGAGGTCGTCCGCGACGGGCGCGGACTCCAGATGCGTCGCCTGCGGGCTGCCTGAGCGGTCGCCAATGCCAATGCAGCCGTAGGCTGCCCCTTCGGGGAGTCGCGATTCACAGCGCTCGAAGCCCGGCAACTTTGGGGCCTTGGGCTGGACCCATGCTTCTCCGACGCGTGGAAACACGCGCGAGCGCTCGGTCGCGCTTGGGGGCACTTGGGAATTCCCAGGGAGCGGTCGGGATCGCCCGGGGGCGCCAGGGAGCGCCGGGGAGTGCTTGGGGGCGCCTAGGAGCGCTGAGCCTGGGGGCGCTTGGGAGCCCCGGGGAACGCTTGGGAGCGCGCGGGGGCGCTTGGGAGCTCCCTGGGGGCGCTTTGGAGTGTGTGTGTGTGTGTGTGTGTGTGTGTGTGTGTGTGCGTTTGTGTGTCTGCGCGTGCGTTTGTGCGCGCGCGCGTGCGCGCGCGGGAATGTGCCCCCCCCCCCCCCGTAAACGCTAAAAGGCCTTCGTGCGGGAGGTCGCCGGCCTCTCGGCCGGGGGTGGGGAGACGGCGCAAGACTTGCGCCCTTCGGCAAGCATGATCGGGTCGGACACGCGCCCCCCCGCCCGCTGCGGGCCGAGAAACTTCGAATTCCCAAGCACCTCGTCGCGCGCCAGCTCGCCCGCCGCACATCCGCAACGACGTCCACGAAGGACAAGGGCTTCTCTGAGATGCTTCAGCAGGTAGCCAGACTGGGTCGCCATGGCAGCCTTGCGCTGCCCCCCCCCCGCAATGGGAAGTCGCGACTCAACGATCACCCCTCCCTGGTCCGCGACGAATTCAATGCCCTAGCCCGGCAACGTTTTAGTCCCTGATGGGGCCCATGTTTTTTCCAACACGCAGAAACGCGCGTGGGGGGGCGCCCTCGTCGTTCGTGGGCGCGCCCGTGAGCTTCTGGGGCGCGCCCAGGAGGTTCTTGCCGAATTCAGGGGCGATCAGGGACGCGCCGGGAGCGCCTGGGGCGGCCCTGGAGACTTCCGCACGCGCGCGTGCGCGACTCGCCTGTGATCGCCGCGTTGGCCCCCTTTGCCGCGCCACACCATGTGGCCCTCTTGAGATTGGAGCATCTGCGCACGTGCATTCCAGTCTCGACATGCGCGCGCCAGCGCAGCTGGGCCCGCAAGAGGAGCGCGCAGGCGCGGTTTTGGCGTCGCCAGCGTAAACTCAGCGACTAGGTCTGATAAGTCGAAGGCTGGCCGGCCGCCAGGAGCGCCAGGGAGCGCCCGGAAGCGCGCGTGCGTGTGCGCGTGGGAATTTGGGGCTCTCCTAAACCCTGGAAGGCTGTAGTTACGTGTTGGAGGTCGCCAGCCTCTCGGCCGGGGGTGCGGGGATGGCGTAGGGCTTGCGCCCTCCGACGGGCTTGCTCGGGTCGTCGAGGCGCCCCCCCAATCAAGCTCGCCGAAAGGGGGGGCAGCGTCGCCGCGCGCTGTCGGCAGCCGCGCGCAGAGAAGCCCTAAACCCTAGAGCCCGAAGACCCTAAGACCCCAAGACCCCGAGACCCTGAGACCCCAATCCCCTACGCCCCTGAGACCCCACGCCCCTGGGTTCCTTGGGCCCTGTGACCAAAAGGCCCTGAGACCCGATGACCCGCCCCAAGATCCTCGGGCCCTGAGACCCCGATGCCCTAGGGCCCGATGGCCTGGAGGCCCGAATACCCGAAGACCCGAAGATCCTACGACTCGAGCCTGCGACCCTACGACACTGCGGCCCTCGGATTTTAAGGCCATGAATGAAGCCCGAAGATCCGAAGACCATGAGACCCCGTGACCGCAGGGCCAGAATGCCCGAAGTCCCGACAAACCGATGACCCGAAGATCCGATGGCCCGAAGGCCCTGGGACCCCAGGGCCCGAAGACCCGAATACTTCGAGACCCTGAAATCCCGAGGCCCCACAGGCCCGAAGACGTTAAGACCCTAGGACCTTGAAGTCTTAAGACCTTCAGACAGTCAGACCCTCAGGCCCTGAGACCTTAAGACCTTCGGACCCTGCGACCCGATGACCCGACCCTGAAACCCTAGGCCGCCACGACCCAGCGCCCCCGCGCCCCCGCGGCCCGAAGACCCCGCGACCCTGAGACCCGAGGGCCCGAAACCAAGTGCCACAGACGCGAGGGCCCGAAGACCTTGCGACCCGCGGGCCCGAAGACCCTGGGGCCCGAAGGCCCGAAGTCTCGGAGACCCATTGACGCGGGGCCTTCGGGCCCGAAGACCCCCAGGCCCTAAGACTCCGAGGCGCTAAGGCCCTAGGACCCTGAGGCCCTCCGGCCCGAAGACGTCGACCCAAAACCCCAAGACTATAGACCCTGAGACCCCGAGGCCCTCAGACCCTCGAGCCCCGGGACCTCCAGAACCGAAGACCCTCGGGCCCCGAGGCCCTAACTCCTTTCGGCCCCGCGACCCTGAAACCCTGAGACCCCGAGGTCATGCGACCCAAAGACCCGAAAGCCCGAAGACCCGAATGCCCTGATACCCGATGACCTTAAGACCCGAAGACCCTGAGACCCCTGAGACCCTCAGACCCCGAGGCCCGAAGACCCCGGGGCCCCAGGGACCTCCAAAACCTGAAGTCCCGAAGACCCGATCACCCGAAGACCCCGAGACCCCGAGAGCCTAAGACGCTGAGGCCCTGCGACGCTGAGACCCCGGGGCACTGAGGCCCGAACGCCCTGAGGCCCCAAGGCCCCATGGCCCCGAGACCTTCGGGCCATCGGGCCCCCGGGCCCTCGGACCCTCGGCCCCTGGGCCCTCGGGCCCTCGGGCCCCAAGGACCTGAGGCACGAAAGCCTTGAGACGCCGAGGCCCCCGGGCCCTCGGGCGCTGATCGCCCCGCGGCCCACGGGCCCCAGGGCCCCGAGGCCCTGAGACCGCAGGGCCCCAAGGCCCTCACGCCCCAATACTTCAAGATCCTAAGAGAGGCCCTAAGGCCCTGGGCCCCCAGGACCCCGAGACCCTAATGCCCTCGCCCCTGAGGCCCCAAGGCCATGAGTTCCCAATGCCTAAAGACCCGAGGGCGCATAAAAACGCGTTGCTCCACGACCCCGAGACTTTGGGCCCTCGGGCACTGAGACCTTCAGACCCTGAGGCCCTAGAGACCTGAAGACCCGTCGACCCTGGGCCCTTGAGACCTCTCAGGCCCGAAGACCCTGAGGCCCTAGGACACGGATGCCCGATGAACCGACGACCACCATGCCTTGGGGCCTTTTGGCCCTAAAGCTCCAAGCCCTAATGCCCTGAGACCATTGGACCCCAAGGCCTCGAGACCTCAGGCCCTGCGCCCCTGAGACCCGGAGACCTCGGTGCCTTGAGGCCCCGAGGCCCTGAGGCCTTAAGTCCCCAAGATTTTGATTCCCCGATACATTTACCAAAACCCCAGACCCGTAGACCCGAAAGCCCGGGGACCCGAATGCCCCCTGACCCAAAGACCCCGAGGCCCTAAGACCCCAAGACCCGAAGAACCTAAGGCCCGCAGACCCTAGGACACTAGGACCCCATGGCCCCGAGACCCTACCCCCATGCACTCAGACCCTGAAGCCCTGAGACCCACTGGCCCCAAGGCCCTGCCCTGAAACCCTGAGGCCATAAGGATCTACGGCCCTGAGGCCCTCGAGGCCCTAATGCACCCAGACCATGAGACTCTGAGACCCCCGGACCCTACGACCCCATGACTCCAGGACCCTCAGACCCTCAGTCCCCAGGACTCTAATATCCCAAGGCCTTAAGGCCCTAAGCCCCTGAGACCCTCGGGCCCTAAGATTCCGAGACCCCAATGCCCTAAGTCCCTGAGGCTCTAAGACCCTGAATCCATAAGACCTCATGACTATAAAGACCCTCAGGCCCGAGTGGCTTAAGACTGTAAGACTCTAGACCGTAAACAACGCAGGCGGCCAGCCCCCAACGTTGGGAGCCACCATGTTGCGGAAGGCCGGGCGGACAACCCCCCTGCGTTGGGACGTTGCCGTGTTGCGGAAGACCCGTGTTGCGGAAGACCCGTGTTGCGGAAGGCCCGGCAGGAAGTTTCTTACGTCTGGGGGGCCACCATGTTGCGGAAGGTCCGGCGTAAAACCCCCCTTACGTTGAGGCGCTACCATGTTGCAGAAAGCCTGGCGACAAGCCGCTTACGGTGTGGGCCCACCATGTTTCGGAAGGCCCCGCGAAAAAACACCCTGCGTTGGAGAACCACCATGTTGCGGAAGGCCCGGCGGAAAGCTTCCTACGTTGAAGAATCACCCTGTTGCGGAAGGCCCGGCGGCCTACGTTGGGGAGCCACCATGTTGCGGAAGGCCTGGCGGACATCCCCCTACGTTGGGGAGCCATCATGTTGCGGAACGCCCGGGCGGTGTTTGAGTTCTTGGTCTCGGGCGGGATTTCGGTAGACCAGGACACAGGGGCGCGCGACCGAATCATTCTCCATTATTCGATTTCTCCCGCTAGACGCTAGATGTTTTTGTGCGGAGTCCTGGTTTGCAGCGTCCTGGTGTGAGGGGCCCTGATCCGTCTTGGCCATCGAGAGGCTCTGCAGCGAGGCCATCTGCGAGGGGCCGGGGGCGGGCTGCGGGGAGAGCTCGGGGGAGCCTCGGGCAAGCAGGTCCTGCGGCGAGCTCTCGGTGGAGTGCCTGCTCAACGAGCCCTCGGAGAAAATCTGCCTGTGCGCCTCGCTGGAGAACTCTGGGCAACACCATGTGAGCGACGCAACGAAACGGGTCCGACTGCGCCAGCATTCGCGCGCAAGCTGCTCGCGTAAGGTCGCGCGTGACCGCCCTCGTCTCCGTTCTGGCTTGCCGCGCTGGCGGCCCGCGTAAGCCACCGCGTAAGGTCGCTGTGCCTTCTCGCATAAGACCGGTTTTTGATCGTCGTTCATGTGTTAACCCTGCCTGCGGGCCCCCAAGCGGCGCGGTGACCACACCGTGTGGCGGGTCGGTGGGGATCCGGGGTGGCCGCAGGGTCGCCGCTTTCCGAGCACGTCTTTGGCGACGGGAGCCTCCAGGGTTCCCAAGCCGTGCGGTGACGGACCGTGCGGTGAGGTCTATGGAGATGTCGAGGTCACCGCGCGGCCTGTCACCACACCGCTTTGGGACCCCAGGCCTACCCGGCTGCCGAAGCGGGTGTGTTCGCAGGGCAGGGCAGGGCTCGCACGCGGCCGCAGGCGCTGACGTCCGCCGGTATGATTTGTTCAATCCGCGGCCCCAGAGCCCCCGACCGCTTCCCCTTGGGGTAAGTTTAAGTCGGGCCTGTCCCTCTACAGGGGGGATATTCAAAAATAGAAAAATAGTCAGGACACTATTTTCTGAGCATTTTTTGCCATTCACGAATATGTTTTGAGTATGTTTTATGTTTCCTCGAAAATCCCCCTGTAGGGGGACAGGCCCGACTTAAGGGTAAGTATTCTTTCGCCCCAGATCCAGTTGGGATGATGCCCAGTGGCCCGGCAACGGGCCCCCCAAGGCCTAGAGCGAGGATTGAAGCAGTCACACCGTCGGAGAGTTGGCGAGGGCTCTCCGATCGTCATCGGCTACATGAGGGTCCGGCTCTTCGGCGTCTTCCTCCGTGACGTCTTGCACGCCCTGGTGGACAAGGACAATGCCAGGGGGGGCCACCACTCCGGGGGCCGCCCGCTCCTCCAGGCGGCGGGCCGCCCCGGGCCCTCCGGGGCCTCCCAGAGGCCCCCGGGGACCCCCAGGTACTCCCAGAACGTCCAAGACCTCCTCCTCTTCCTTCTCCTCCTTCTCCTCCTCCTCCTCCTCCTCCTCCTCCTCATCCTCATCCTCATCCTCATCCTCCTCCCTCCCTCCCCCCCTCCCCCCTCCCTCTACTCTACGGCGGGGGCGTGTGTCAAGGAATGTGCCCAGGAGGCTGCAGACCTGACGAGGGTGCCGGTGATATCCAGGGCCAAGCCTCCATTGGCCTTCTGCTGGCCTCCAGACCCTTGCTTTCTTGCCTGAGTGTTCCTTATCCAATGCCCTCACCGTACTTCTCGCCCCTCCTCCGCGATCCTCGGTGTCCAGGAGAAGCCAGTGACCCTCCCAGGGGTCACCTCCGTGGGGCACTGCCTGCCCGAGAGGAGGAGCGCCTGGCGCGGGACCCGGACTCGGAGTACCGGGTGCTCCGGCCGGCCCCTGGCGGAGACCCGACGCTGGAGGATCGGGCCAGAAGGGGGGGGGACCTTCGTTGGAGCAGCAGTCGTCTAACATCGGGGGCAGCAAAGATAGGGGTGATGGCTAGGGGGGGGCTATCATGGCGTGGGCCGTGTTTTGCTAAAGCGGGTCCTGCCCGCCTGCGATGAGGTTGGGGAAGGGTCAGCCACGCGCAGAGGGGGGGGGGGCGGGAGGGGGAGTGCTTCTTAGAAGCGCCCCTGCTTCTCAGAAAGCGCGGGCCTCATCTATAGATGCAGGGCCGTCGCCTTCTACGAATCAGCCTTCCAGGAGGCCTTCTCCCCTCCCCCTACAACCCTCCTTGAAAATCAAGTGCAATTTTTTGTCCGACCCCCTCGCCCCCGAATTTCAATGTTGATGGACGCACGCAGCCCGGCCCGCGGGGTCAACGAAAAAATGGCAGTCGCCGGCGTTGGCGTCAACATTGAAATTTTGGGCCCAGGGGCGTCGCCACGTCTTGGAAAAACTTGCGGTTGATTTCGAGGAGGGATGTACCCCCTTGTGCGCGCCGCCAACGTGTAAAGGGGGCTACGAGGTCTGCTGCATGCGGCCAAGGCCGTTCTCCATCGCTCCGGCAAGTTTGCTTGCACGGAGTGTGGGGGGGGGATGTGGCGAGACCCGAACGGAGACCGGGTGTCACGCAAGTCGGGGCTCCCTTGTACGGCTTTGCGGCCCAGTGTTGTTTCTGAAATGGTGGCGGACAGCAGGGGGGGGAGGGTGGCCGAAATGGTATGCAAACGGCATCCGAAAGGGAAGAAATGGTGAGCTTTTTTCCCTACCTAGGCTCTGCCTAGAAGGGTTCTTACTCTCTTAGCTTAAAGGGGCCGGGCAATGGAAAGCGCCCCGGGCGGTTCCCCCGGTCCCCGCCCCGCGGTTCCCCCCAGTCCCCTGGGAGCTTTAGCTTTAGCTTTAGCTTTAGCTTAGCTGTAGCTTAGCTTTAGCTTAGCTGTAGCTTAGCTTTAGCTTAGCGTTTCGCTTAGCTTTTCGCTTAGCGTTTAGCTTAGCTTTAGCTTAGCTTGAGCTTAGCTAGCTTAGCTTTAGCTTTAGCTTTAGCTTTTCTTTAGCTTAGCTTTAGCTTAGATTTAGCTTAGCTGTGGCTTAGCTTTAGCTTAGCTTTAGCTTAGCTTTAGCTTATATTTAGCTTAGCTGTAGCTTAGCTTTAGCTTAGCTGTTGCTCAGATTTAGCTTAGCTTTAGCTTGAGCTTAGCTGTAGCTTAGCTTTAGCTTAGCTTTAGCTTTTCTTTAGCTTAGCTTTAGCTTAGATTTAGCTTAGCTGTGGCTTAGCTTTAGCTTAGCTTTAGCTTAGCTTTAGCTTAGCTTAGCTGTAGCTTAGCTTTAGCTTAGCTTTAGCTTAGCTTTAGCTTAGCTTAGCTTTAGCTTAGCTTTAGCTTAGCTTTAGCTTAGCTTTAGCTTAGCTTTAGCTTAGCTTTAGCTTAGCTTTAGCTTAGCTTTAGCTTAGCTTTAGCTTAGCTTTAGCTTAGCTTTAGCTCAGCTTTAGCTTAGATTCAGCTTAGCTTTAGCTTAGCTTTAGCTTAGCGTTACTGTTACTACTAATGCTGCTTTCCTAGGGGTTCCAACTCCTAGGTAGGGTCGCACTGGGATAGTTTATTCATTGGTTTGCCGATCGGCCCAGGCCCCCCAACCCCCCCCTCCCCACCCCCATGGAGTAAATCTTGGCTGTTTTGGGCGCATATTTCGAGCAGGTGGAGTCTCTCCTAATATGACCCAATGCTGCAAACAAGCGCACTAAGCAGCTGTCCGGAGCCAGACCACCACCCCTCCCCCACTTCCGCCAATGTCGACACGCCGAATAGAAGAAACGCTCACGCTGCAGACTCGTAGGTTTAGGTCGGGCATGTTCTCCTCCAGGCGGATTCTGGACGACAGACACAGCATGATTCAAGCATGCTCAGACGTAGTCGACGCATGGTCGAAACATCGTCCCCCTATTCTTGTTACTACTACTTCTGAGTACCCCGCCCGATGTCGACACGCCGAACACCAGAAAAACAGCCCACGTGCACGCTCCCCTCGACGCGGTGGCGCCCCTCCGCCGCCGGGAGGGGCGCGGGGAGGACTGGCTGTGCGAGCCGGCTCGCGGACCCCACTCCCCCTGCGCTGGCCAGTGTCAGTCAGGTCGGGCGCGTTCCACGGGCGAGTTCGGGACGAGAGAAGAAAGTTTGCAAAGATATGCAGAATAGTCAAAAGATCGTCCCCGGACTAGTCTTCGACTGTTTCTGAATGCTCCTCCTGTAGAGGGACAGGCCCGACTGAAAGCCAGTGTGGCGTGTTCGATCCGCAGCCCCAAAGGTCCGGACCGCTGCCCACGGGTAGTTTAAGTCGGGCCTGCCCCTCTACAGGAGGAATGTTCAACAACCGTCAAAAATTAGTCTGGGAGCGATCTTTTGACAATTCTTGTGCGTATTTTTTGGATGTACTTGGGGGGCCTTTTATCTTTTGTCCAAAATCCGCCTGTAGGGGGACAGGCCCGACTTACAGCCAGTGTGATGTGTTCGATCCGCAGCCCCAAAGGTCCCGTCCGCTGCACCACGGGTAGTTTCTCGTCCTTTTTTCCATCCCAGCCCCCCTCGAGCCATGGAAGAGTCACGATGGGCGGCTCTCCGTTCGTTTCTGCCTCTCTTCTGGGGGCCCTTGCCGGGCCTCGAGGCTGCCATCACAACGACTCACGAGGAAAAGCCGGTCCCGGGAAGGGGTCCAGATCCAGGAGCCTTGAGACGGGGGTCCATGCAAACGGGGGTCCGCCAGAGCGCCCGATCTTGCAGGATCCTGCAGGGCCAGGGTCGCATTGACCGCAGGATCCTGCAGGATCTTGCAGGATCCTTCGCATTGACCCAGTGCTTGGGTGCAGGATCTTGCAGGATTCTGTAAGGCTTGACTGACCCGGGTCTGGATTGACCCGGCACAGGTGATCCCCGACAGATCCTTGGGGGTCGCCGTTGTGAGCAGAAGCGCGACGTCGAGGGTCTGGGCTTCTTGCTATGGTCCCGGGGAGTCCGCTGCAACGGGCCCCCAGATCGGCGGCACCCCAACATACCAATGTTTAAGTCGGGCGTGTCCCTCTGAGCACAGGGGGAAGATCCAAACATATTCCAAACATAGTATGTGGACGATGTTTGTTTGTTTTGACGTTTTTTGCATTTTCTAAAACCTACGTTTTGACTACTTCTTGTTTTCTCGTCCAAGATCCGCCTGTAGGGGGACACATGCCCGACCTAATACCAATACTATGTGTGCGTCCCCCCCCCTCTCAGGGTCGACGCGCGCCTCGCGAAGTCTTATGGTATATGTATCGTGGCGGGCTCATTCTGGCCGTAGCGCTCGGGGAACGATATACTACAAGATGTGTATACTTTCTGTTCGGGTCGGACGCGCGCTTCCAAGGAGGACATATAGTAACAGTATGTCTCTGTGCGTTCCACCAGATGCAAAAGAAGCGCAAGTTCAAGCAATCGTGCCGTCGAAACAAAAAAAACGGGCTTGCCGCGCAACCCCCGCGGCCTCAGCCCGAGTCCTTCCTGGACTGTCCCGGGGGCCTGGCGAGGGCCCCCAGCGGCCGCACGTGGCAGAACGCCTCCCGTCGTGACTGTTCCGATGATCCTCAGGACGCGTGTTGACCCCTCCTCCTCCTCCTCCTCCTCCTCCTCCTCCTCCTCCTCCTCCTCTGCCCCCGCCTCCTCCTCCTCCTCCGCCTCCTCCTCCTCCTCCTCCTCCTCCTCCTCATCGAACACTACAGGCAAGGCGGTCTGTCCTGTCCGCCGCAGCCCGCGCCGCGCCGCCGCGCGCGGCGCGACGCACGGCCCCCTTCCTCGGAGAGCCTCGGGAAGGGGCCTCAAACAGCCTCTGGAACCCAGGGCCACCCGCCACCAGGAAAGAGAGGAGCCTCAAGGGGCCTCGGATCCTGGACCAGAGGAGGGAGGGGGGGCCAGGCCAGGTTTAACGATTACTTGTGGATCGTCGAGGGCCCGTCTCCGTTCCAGCATCCGTCACCCCACCGACGGTCGCGTACCACATGTCGGCGCATTGCGACTCTTTGGGTGACGGAGGCTGGAGGAGGGGCTTCGCTGAAACGACAGTCTCGGTGGCTTGAGCGGCGCCATTCCCCCGAATCGGGGGAAGGCGGAGAGCAACGGGGCAGGGCCCGAGGGGGAGCACCCGACAGAGAGAGGGGAGGGGCCTCATGAGCCTCGAGGAGCCTCAAGGAGGAAGGACGGGACCCCCAACGGGAACTCTAAACTAGAAGTCTTCTGAGGCCACCTGGGCGGCGGACCGCCGGGGCCTGTGTCACAGGTAGGTCTTCGCCTCATCCCCCTCGCTCCGCGAGGGGGCCTTCCTGATGCGGGGCCGTACAGCTGATGGTTCAGGGCGATCGCGTGGCGGTTGCTGCCGCCGTCGATCATGTGCCCCTGTTACGGGCATGTGAGAATGTCTCCAACCATGTGGAGTCGGTGATACAGGTCGCTGACGATGAGCCGATGTGGCCGCCGCAGTCGTCGGTGATAGCGTCCTGGTTGTCGGCGATGGCCTCTATAGCTTTCTTTATGATGTCCTCGATGTCGTTGCCGTCGGTGTGGCATTGCTCGCACATGATTGCTGTGTACTTCTCCGCTGAGGTTGCTCGATGGTGTTGTCCTAGCAGTGTGTGCTCTTGGATGCTCAGGTGGCGTATGTCGCTGTCCATCAGTATGGTGGGGGTGGTTGTTGCGACCGTGTCGTATGCCGCAGTGAGTGTTCTGTACACTGTGTGGTTGTCTTTGGTGGCCACTCGCTGCTGTTGTGTGCTTATATGTGGCCGTCCCCATGGGTGCTGTCGGTTTTTTGTTTGCCCTTCTGGTTTGAAGGTGCTGATGCTGGCGTCGACGATGTGCAGCGCCACTCTCTCTCCCGAGGTACTTTCTCGCCCGCTGTAGCCAGTGTCGTCGCCTTCGGCGTTGTCAGTCCGCCTAATACGTATCCGTATTGCCGTGCTGTGTAGGTTGACTTGCCGCTGAATGACGTCGGTTATCTCGCTGGTGGCAACGTCGCTAGCAGTGGTGATAAGTATCGTGTTCGGTGGTTCTCTGTCTTGGTTGGTGTGTGGATGCCTCTGCTCGTCGCTGGATGTCTGGCTGGGCAAGGTTGTCGCTTCAGGGATGCTAGTTGGGACTGGTGTGTGTGCGTCGCTGGTAAGTGTTTTGGGTCCTATCGGCGGTCCGTACGTTTGTATTGGCGGTACCTCGGCGTAGTCGTCTGGCAACCCGTTTTGTCTGTCGAGTCGCCTCACAAGTCGGATCTCCGTCAAGTTGGTTTTGACCTCTTCGGCCGTTGCCCTGTCGTTGCTGGCCCTCCAAGAAGCGGCACATGTGGTCGACGTTCTGACGTGCTTCATTAGCTTGTTTGCGGTGTGAAAGTTCTTCAAGCAAATTTGGCATGTTTCTCCGACTGCGAAGTTGCTTATTTCTTCATCGCTTCTGTGGTGGTTGTATACATGATTGTTATGCGCCGCCTTGTTCTGCAAGATTGCGCCGCAGTGGTAGCACATGACTGGCGCCGTCTTGGTCGCACCGAGCTCTTCGTCGTCGTGCGTACTTGCAGGTCGGAGTCCGATAGTTGCCGCAATGCTTGAAGTGGTGTCTTGCCATGTAGTGCGTCTCGTCGTCTCCGTGTGCTGGCCGGTGGCCCTGCTGTATGCGTGGGAGAGAATGGTCTTGAGGTGGCTGGTGTCGTGCCGCGCCATCGTGATGAGCTCTGTGATGTATTTGGGGATTTGCTCGTGTCGCGTGTGGTCGCAATGGTGACGGTAGTGTTGCAGGTCAGTGTTGATGGTTGTGGACCATTCGCCCCCTCTCTGTACGTCGTAGTCTGCAAGTGCTTGTAGTTCTGGTGGACAGTTGTGTGCTATGCGTCGCGCTGGTCTGAGACGGAGTCGCCGCAGCCGCCCTTGTAGTGTTGGTAGTGCAGCTCGGTCGTTAGTGATCCGCTGGGTGCGCATCTTGTCGTGGGTGATCCCGATGGCCTGTCGTGCCGCATATACGTATGCCGTTGTAAGTCTGTTCGTGTCGCGCTGCTTACTTAGGATCCATGTGCCTGCATTGAAGAATCGCTTAGGATACCCAAACGCCTCCAGGTAATGGACCTTGGCCTTGGTAGTGACGGCACGCCTCTTGGATAACGTCTTGCGGAGCGGTCCCGTCGTTTGTCGTAGTGCAATTGTTATGGCTGCAATCTCCTGTCCAAGGCCGTTCCTGTCGTTGAACATTGCCCCAAGTAGCTTGGTGCTCCTTGTATTTGCGACCGTGAACCCCATGTCTGCAATGCTGGGCTTTTCTTGAGTCATGATTCGGGCAGTACGCTTTCCGCTCTGAGTGTTGGGGTACACGATGTAACTCGACTTAGCCGTGTTGATCGGTAATCCTCAGCTAAGTGTCGATCGAATAAGATGCCCTCACAGTGTGCCAACCAGCTGGTGGATTACGTTGCCGTTGCTGGTCATTGCTGCTGCTTTGGCGTCGTCCACGAATGATGTTGGCGTTAATATCTGTGTGCAGTCGCTCTGCTGGAAGTGCTGTGGTGCTTCGGGGATCGTTACCACGGCGCCATCGTTGGTAGCTCGCTGGTGACAGTCTGCTGTAACGTCTGCCATCAACGCATTGAATGTGAAGTCGGCGATTGGGGCGCCAGGTCGTGTTCCCAGCCTTGGTGCAGCCCAGGTCGCGTCTCTGTGTATGTAGAACCACGTCCCTTTGTGGGCCTCCGTGAGCATCTCGACAATGTGTTGGTCCGTGACGTGCTTGTTGACTATGCAGTCGTTAGTCATCAGATAGGTGATGGCTGGGATCACGGCGCCAGGGATGTCAATGTTATTGATGACGTCGCTGATTTGATCTTCGTCGGGTTGCATGCTGTACACCAGCTGGTTGATGACCGTGTGGAATGCTGCCTTCAGGCCGATAATTATGATCACCAGGCCGTTCTTTATCGCCATGGCGATGCCGAACAGCAGTCTCATCATCACGTGGTTGAAGTCCGTGCTGTAGTGGTGCCTTCCACCCATCTGCGTAGAGAACAACATATCAGGGAGGAGGTCCTTGACGCACTGCCTGATGTAGCGGTAGCGGTGCTTGATGACGGTTTTGGCGAGAGTAATGGATCGTTGGTTTGGTAGTGCCTCTTCTGCTCCTTGGCCTTTCCAGAAGTAGGTCATTCTTGACCCCTTGTGCGCCAAACTTTCCCTGCAGTATAGAGCGGCCTTGGTGATCTCTGGGCGCATGTGTCGAGCAACTTCACGTGGGGCAATTCTGGCCAAGTCGTCGGTGATGCAATCTGGCCCAGATGCTCTGCATGGCTTGGCCTTAGCAAGGACGTCTTGCAGCTCGTAGATGCTGGCAAAGTTGGTGATGCCCCTGGTGATGTGGCTCGTGCCCCGTGTAGTGTGATTGCTGTATATGTCGACGATTTCCTTCTGCGTCATGAGCTTTGCTGCTTCATTGTGTCCGAAGTGATTTGTCGCTTCTTCCGCTTTCACAGCTGCACTGGTAGCTATGTTGCCGTCCAACTGTGTCATTCGTGGGCATGTCCTTTTCTTCTGTCGTTTTCTGCCACCGAAAGTCAGCAACTTCTTGGTGTACTTCCATTATGTGTAGGCGTCGCCGCTGCTTTTTGCTTCCATGGCGAGCTGGGCTTGCTCCTCCAGGAAGTGCTTGTAGTGTCTGTCGATCATCTTCACGATGCTCTTCCTGGCGGTGGTAATCCATTGCTTGACGGAATCGAGGGAGTACTGGTCGTCGAGCTTGCTGATGTCCTGTTGGGCCACATAATGCAGCCGAAATGTCTCACAATAGGCGTATTGGATGGCTTCGATGGGCATCTGTAATGCAGGATCTCCGTTTATGTACTCCAGTAGTTTTTGCGCTCGTCGTTTTGTCACTGGATGCTGTAGCCCGTCGTCTGAAGCCGCCCGGATATATTGCATAAGTTTCCTGCGGCACATGATGAAAGCCAGTGTCTCTTGTGATATGTACTCCTGGAACTTCTTTCGGCCCTTTCGTGCGAAGGATCTATGTGTCGCCTCCATACTGGTCAGCATGTAGTAGTAGACGTGCTCGTCGTAGTCCAGGCCCCATGTTCGGAGCATCGTGGAATTGAGCTCGTTCTTGAACTTTCGTACCGCCTCTTCGGACCTCAACTGGTTCCTATCGGCCTTCGGGCAGAAATGCCTAGGTGCCGTATGTCGACCCGTCCACTGCGCTGTTGCCGCGACTGGAGTGTGGTCTTCTCTGTTGTTGTCGTGCTTCTTCTGCTTCTTCATGGTCTCGATGTCGTTGAGTGTGTGAACATCTATAATCTGTGGCGTCCACGTCTCGTTAGTCAATATGTAATATATTCGATGCTCGTTGCCGCGTCCGTCGCGCCACGCGTGGTGGTTCTTGCCGTTGGAGATCTTCGTGTTGATGATGGTGTACCTTCCCTCTGCGGCCATCTCGCGCAGCCTTCTACCGTTGCCGTCCTCTGTTTGTGGGGGCCCTTCTCCGCCGACCCATTGAGTTTGCACTTCGCCCGCCCTGCCGTTGGCATCGGTCAGTTTGATGTCTGGTTTGCATTTCCTTATGCACTCGTTTCGTGCCTCCCAATAGTTGTTCTTGTCATCGTCGTTCTTTTTGTTATGTGGAGCGTGGCTGACGCAGATGGTCAACTTGACAGGGCTGGTTTCGATCTTGACAATGAGTACGCGGGGCTCGCTGACTAGTACGTGAAACTGGCTCGGCTCGAAGTGCTGGAGACCGCTCCCCCCATCCGCGAACGGCCCCTCCAGGTATATCCAAAGCTCGCATCCCGCATTGTAGTTGTCGCGAAGGCTGCTGCTGATGTAGTAGCCGTTGCTGGCAGTGGTCCTTCCGCTCGCGCCTCGCTTCCTGAATGCCGACAATATGGAGCTTATGTTTTTGGAATTGTCGTCGTTGCGCAGGTCCTCTCCGCGCGTGGGCGATTTGTGCCGCCCTCGTTTGTTTCTTCTGTTGCTTTCTGTCGGCTTCGCGTACGCTCTCTACGTTGTCAGTGGCAAAGTTCAGCTCCACCGTTGTGTCGGTCGACGTAGTCGCGAGCGGGGCCATCAGGTGGTGTTTCTCTGCCGATCTCGTCGGCATTCCGAATCGGAGATGTCGTTCCACCTTCGTTGGGTAAGTTGCTCTGTCTGGATGTTGTGGCTGGAGCAATCCTTCCCATTGGTAGAACTTAGATACTCTGATAATGTCCTTGAAGTTGTACGGGATGACGTCGTAGTCTTCGCCCTTGTCGTATCGCCGTCGTGTCCTTTTGGCCAGGCCGTCCGCAAGCTCGTTCCAAGGCGTGCTTTCATGGCTTGGTACATGTACCACTGTTACGTTGGTCTCGGTGCGTACCATGTCGTATATGACCTTCAGAAAGCGTGATAGATGCTCGTCCGCCGAGGATGTAGCTATCCCATTGCATAGATTAATGGCCGTCTCGCAGTCGGTGTGCATGCGCGCACGCTGGGTCTCTGCGGTCGCCGAATGCCACATGAGAGCTTGTGCAATGGCCAGTTTCTCGCCCGTCGTGTTCGAGATCCTAGAGCTGGGGGCGTCCATGGTGTGGCTCTCGTTGGCGATGCTGCTGAGCGCGCCTTTGAAGGCCCGCTGGTCGAATGTCTCGCCTTCCTGCAGAGCTGGGAAAGCCCGTGCGCAGCTCTCAGGTCGACGCACGTTGTGAGAGGCGCCGGTGAAGATGTGCTTGCTGCGATGGTGTCCGTCACCTTTAGGTGTCGTGCTTAGCGCGTACCTTGCTGCCTTATGTAGGTAATTTCTTTCGACGTTGTAGTCAAGAAAGGGTGCCGTCGTAGCTCTGATGCGCCTTCTCAAACTCCTGGTGTCTCCAAGGTCGCATGCATATGTGTCTTTCTGCTGCGTTCCATGGTAGATATCGAGGTCGATTTGTTGTTGTTGTGGGTTCGTTGGTTTCTTGGGCTCGTGCGGTTCATTATTCTTCTTCGCTCGGAACGGTTGCATGGCTTTGGTTGGTCGTCGTACTTCTTCGTCGGGCTCTCGTGAAGGGTTGGTGACTGTGTCTGTCGAAGTGTTGCGTGTTGTACGTTCGTCTATAGTCGTGCGTTGACGTCGGAAGGGTAACATCGCCTTTTTCTTGGTCTTTCGGTGCTTATGCTCTTGCCACTCTGCTGCTTGTTGTGGTTGCTGTGTTGACGTGTGTGCTATGTTGGTTCGTTGTATATGTTCCGCGGTGACGGTGCTCAGGGATGCTGTCTGAGCTGCCGTCGTTCGTCTGTTGTCGTTGGCGTGTCGTATATGTGGTTGGCTGTTCGTGTCGGTCGGCGACTCATTATGTTGTGTCATCTGTTGGCCGTCGTTTTCCCTCGTAGGTAAGTTGGTCCTTTGTTGTCGCTGCCGTCGGAAAGGTTCCATCGCTTGTCGCAGTGGTATTGCTCGATATGCTGCTCGTTGATGTCTTGGTGTCTGAATATGTGCTGCTGCTGGTTGTGGTCGTGATCGTAGCTGTCGAGATGGTAGCCCTGCTGTGGGTAGTCGTTTGGTCGTCGGGCTCGTTGTTGGGAAGGTTGTCTCGTCCATCAGGTCTCCATGCGCCGACTTCAAGTGGGGTTCTTGGCGGTCCCACTTCGCCCCGCTACGGCTAGGGGTCACAGTGCCCTCGGTGGGGGCGAACCCCAGACCTTGCGGTGGCTTGTCGTGCGTGCTTGTAGGTGGGTCGTTGGGAGGTCGGTTTGTTGCTGGTGTTGTGATGTGGGTTGTGGGCGCACATCTGAGGCCTCCATGCACCGGCTTCAAGTGGGGCTCGTGGCGGCCCCACCTCGTCCCGCTATGGCTAGGGGTCACAGTGCCCTCGGTGGGGGCGAACCCCAGGCCTTGTGCTTGCTTCTGTTGACGGAGGGGGTCGTCTCGGCTGCCCTCTGCTCCGCCCCTTGGGCGCTCGGGCAAGCCCCGTCTCCGCCATGGGGGCGGTGGGGGTGGCGAGCTAGGGCGGGCCGCGGGGGCGCGGGTAGTGGCCGCCCCCCCCCCCCCCCTTGCCTTTCACCGTCCCCCTGGTAGGCGCGGGCAGTACTCGCCCTGCCCCCCCGCCCTTCGAGCCTGTCTCGAAGTTTGAACCTTGCCTCACCAGGGCAGCCGGGTCGTGCGCGCGCGTCGTTGGCTGGTCGGTGCGTTGTTGTCCTTCGTCGCCTTCGTCTGTGTCAGACTTCGCGTCGTTAAGACAATTGGTATTGGTGGTGGTGCTCTGGTCCACGTGGGTAGATGTCGCCTTCTTTGTCGTTGTGATCCTTGGTTACTTTACTTTGCGTCTGTCTGCCTTCTTCTTCGTGGATGTGGCAGCTTCCCATCTCGTAATCATACCGTTCATGCTGTTCGCGTCCGTCCACTCGATTGTTGGTTGTTGTATTCACTTCGTGCGTCGTGTCGCTTGCTCGTAGTCTTCGTTGTACTCGTGCCTTTGACGTCTAACGAGATCTTTTTTCTTTCTGTTATAGTCGGGCTGGTCATTGTGCTGGTTTGTGATGTCTTGGGTGCTACTATCGTCGTCTGTTTTTCTTTGCTTATCGCTGTTCAAGAATGAGTCCTCGATGCCGTCGATCATTCCAGGTGGCGCGCTTCGTAAATATTGGTCGCTCCACTTGTCGGGGTGAGAATGAATTCGCTCCTCGTGCGAGGTTGTATCCACAAAGCCAGAATGGCTGTTCGTCTCTGGCGCCAAGTCGGGTTGGGGTCGGTTCGGCCTTGGCGGTGCGTTCGCCTTTGACTTCTGGCCTGACCCTGGGTTGCGCCGGGGTCTGAAATCGGACTCGTCGTTCGCTGCTTGCTTTCAGACCTCCTGCGCGATGCACGGTGTCCATAAGATCGGCTGGAGGGTGTCTCTTCAGTCCAACCTTGCGCGTAGCCCTGCTGCGATCACCGTTGAAGTAGATTCCCCACTGCAAGATCGCAATATTGCCGTCGCTAATCCCCGCGTCGGTCTGCGTTGCAAGGCGTTTGCTGTTTGCTAAGTGCTGGCGATTGCGGTTGTCATCATGCACGTCAGCGGTCCCCGACGCTGTCGTTGGCATGGTGTGTGATGTTGTTGTGATCTCCCCTATTGGGAGAAACTGCTGCGCCACGTTGCAAGTCGCCGCCACCGCATGGGTCGAAAGGCTGGTTGCCTCGTCGTATGCACAGTAGCTGGTATCGTAGGTTGGCGCCTCCGCCGTTGTCAGTCGCATGGTCGCTTGGAGCCGACCAGATGCTCGGTGCACTGGTGTTGGGCTATCCCGCTGAGCCAGTAGCTCCTCAGCAGGGTCAGTCCCATTCAGTTTTTTGAACTGGCGTCACCCTCCGAGCCCTCGTCTTCGTTGGCTCGCACAGGGATTCGGTCTATTGGGTCCACGAATCCGTCTCCGCCGTCTTGTCTGCGAACCTTCCTGGCTAGTAGTACGGTTCAGTCACTTCCCTTTAGTGCGGATCTCGTCCTCGGTTTGGGTGCCTACTTGCTTCGCTCAGGTGTACCTGTGTGGAATCGTGGAGGTGGTAACACTGGTTGGTGCGGCTGTGTCGGTGTGGTTGCTGAGGGAATGGGCACTCGTGTCGGTGTTCGAGGTGATGCGTCTTCGCCTTCGTTGCTCAAGTCGGTAAGTATGGCGGCGGTGGGTTGGGTCTCGCCTGCTGCAAGCTCGTGCTGTCTGGCTGCAGGTGGGGCTGGGAGTGGTCGTACTTCTGGAAATATGTTGATGGCCGATGTTGGGGTCGTCGATTGGGCTGGCGCTCGGTATCCAATTGGCGTTGGTTGCTCAGCTGGAATGGGGGTCAGGTCGGCAGATTTGGTTTGATTGAGGATGCATGGGTCGATGAGGTCGAGGTCTTCGTGAGTGTCGGGAATGGGGGTTGACGTGCCGTCGTAGCCGTCGTCGGCAATGGGCGTCGGTGCGATGCCGCCGTCTGTCTCGCCGCTGTCGTGTGTCTTCTGGTCTGTCGTTGTAGGGGTCTTGTCTGCAGCCGTGTACATGCCTGGGCGTAACGCCTGAGGTTGTGCGGTCGTTGGCTTGGGCATTGGTGGCAGCGATGTCGGTGTGGATTCGTGTTGCATTGGTGCAAAACCCAGCTCGGTCAGACTGAACTCGCTGTCAGTTGTCGATTGGGTCTTGTGGTCCAGATGCAGATCCTGCCCCATGATTGCCAGTTGCATGGCGTAAGGCTCGAGGTCTGGGCGCATCTCGTCGAAGGGGTCCTGATAGAACAGCTTGTAGACACTGGGCCGTCTCGCGTTGACCTTCCTTCTCAATCTCACAAGCAAGGTATTGCTCTCGCCGTCGGTTGTCCGCGACCTCGCTGAACTCGCGTAACAGGTCCATGACAGCCTGGCGGTCGATGTCCTCGTGGGTCTTGTCAGCGGTCGCGATGGATTCTTCCAGTTGGTGTTGCCGACGTTGATGCCATGCTCGTTCTTCGTCCATTTTGAGCTGGGCTTTGATCTGGTGCTCCTCGTAGGCGATCTTCTGCTGGTGCATGTTCATCTCGCTGTTTCGTGCCTCTTGGTGCTGCCATCCCTCGTACTTATTGAGCTGGTTCTTTTGCGCCTCATTGAACTGTGCTTGCATTTCAGCTTCGAGTATTATTTATTGTACGTGTGCCTGTTCCTGTTGTTGCATTTCGGCCCTCAAGTTCCTCATGGTCAGGTAGCACTGCTGCTCCATTTCATTTCTGCTCTCGACGTACATGGCCTGTAGTTATTCAGCTTTGTTTTGTACTTGCTGTTCTTGGCGATTGATCGTCTCCCTCCTGTGTTCATCGTGCTTGATCCTCGCTTCGTAAATATTTTTCCTTTCAGCCTTGAGGTCTTCGCTCTCATGGTGTTGCAGTTCGCTTAGTCTGAGATGCAGTTGATGGCGTTCTTGATGTAGTCCTTCGACTTCGCGGGCCTTTGCCTCGTAGTACTTGTTATGCTGCATCTCATAGTGTCGCAGAGCTCGCACCCGCACTCCTGTATGCTTCTGCTTCGCGGAATTCTGCACGCGCTCGAACTTTGTAATGTTATGCTTCTTTCTGGTAGGCCTCTTCCTGTCGCTTGGGGCCGTTCTTAGTTGTTCTGAGCGCCTCTTCTGCCGCATCCGGTTCTTGTTGCTCGAGCTTGTGCTTCATGCGTTTCATTTCTTCGCTCGCGATCCTGATCTCATCTCGTTGCTCGGCGTTCCTCCTGCTCTGCGTGTACTCCATGGCATTGATGAGCTTCTTTCTGTCATCATCGTCGCGGTACTTCTTGGGGTGAGGCGTACGGCCTCTCGATCCCGAGGGGGTTTCCTCCTCTTCTTCGTCGCCGTGACAGCTGGATTCGTCCGCCATGTCAGTCGTTGTCCGCATATTCTTCGCCTCGGCGATCAGGGCCGTGAGGTCTTCGATGTTCTGGTCGATCTGTTCGTTCTCTTTGCCGAGGTCCCTGGTCAGCTGGCTGATCTCGCTCTTGCGCTTGATGCGGTGGCCAATCTCTTTCCTGTAGCCATTGATGCGCTGAACAGGCTCGGTAAGCATCGCGACCGTGGCCTTGGTGATGGCGGTCTCTTTGTAGTGCTTGGCCGCGCCCACCTGGGCCCGTTGAGCTCCCATCACCTGGTCCGCGAGCCCCCCGAGCCAGTCGACCTTCGTAGTGGACCAAACCTTTTTGATATCGTCCTCTGCTGGGGGGAACGAGAAGCTCTCGTGCTCCAGCGCTGGGATGATGGGCCCGATGATTGCAATCTGCTTCTTCGTCAAGTATGCCGCGTAGTTCTTGAAGTTGTCCTCGTGCGTGCTTTATGTGGCTCGGCTTCTTCTTCTCTGTGTGTTCCTGGATGCGCTTCGCCTCCATCTATTGCGGTCCTTCTTGTGGTTGTAGTCGTTCTGGTCGTTGTGGCCATTGTACTTCTGGTGGTCGTTGTTGTCGTACTTGTCGTTGTTGTTTTTCTGGTGGCCGTTGTTGTCCTCGTAGTAACACTTGTTGGTTGGTCTTCGACCTCCCACGCGTCTTCGATCTCCACGGCCACGGTTGTGCTCCCACAGGCCAGGTCAGCGCCATCGCGAAGTCGTGTGGCTGCTGCTGCTGGTACTGTGGCTGCTGCTGGTGATGCTGATGGCGCTGGTGTTGCTGCGCTGAGTGGTGGGCGTTGAGGACGTTGGCTGCCTCGACCACCCGCAGCAGAGCCCTTGCCGAGGAGCGGCGGGCCCTTTCCCGCCTGTGCCAGGCGGGCTCCTGGGGCGTCTGTCCCCTCCTGGCGCGCCAGCAGGCGCGCAGCCAGGCACAAGGTCGCGGCTGCAGCGGTGACTATCGCCGACCCGCCGCGGCGCGCGAGCCCGGCCCCGCGGGCGGCCGATCCCGATTGGCGTGAGTCAATCGGCGCGATTTGACGATCAGGCCGAACGGATGATCGTTGACGGCCCAGGCCCGCCAGAGGCCAAATGGGCTTCTCCTCCTCCTCCTCCTCTTCCTCCTCCTCCTCCTCCTCCTCCTCCTCCTCCTCCTCCTCCCAAACGCGTGTTTGCCCCGTGCTGCTCCGCCGACAGCGAGCGTCGGCCCCCGCTGGGCCGCCTGCGCTGTGCATCTGTAGACGGCCTCGGCGGACTAAGACGCGCTGGTGCCAGCACGCGTGCTGAGGACCATCAGTTCCTCCTCCTCCGCCTCCTCCTCCGCCTCCTCCTCCTCCTCCTCCCCCTCCTCCCCCTCCTCCCCTCCTCCTCCTCCTCCTCCTCCTCCTCCTCCTCCTCCTCCTCCTCCTTAGAAGGCCAGGAGGAGGGGGGTGTGGCCGAAGCCTGGGAGGGGACTCTCGTTTCGTCCGCTTTCGTTTGGACCTCGTTCGATCCGTCCCCTTCCGTGCCGTCCTCCCTCGCGGCCTGGGCGAGTTGGAATCGGACGAGCCGGAGCGGACGAGTCGAAGCGTACGAGGTGAAGCTCGGGCGAATCTGAGGCGGCAGCGGATGGACAGTCTGGGCCCCTCTCGCCCCGCCCCAGCGCACAGAGGACTTCGGCAGCAAGCCATGGCAGCTACTTGCCCATCGGTCGTTGAGAGTACGAATTTGGGGCTCACAGATTCCAATCTACTGTAAGCGCCTTACTACTTCAATGATCGAGTGGCTTCTCCTTTTCCGTCCTCCTCAGGGGGCGGACGGAACCCGATCGACTTTCAACGACTTCCTACTTCATGTTTCTACCTGCTTCTTCCGACCGCTGGGTAACAACGCCGTCTCCCGGCCTACCCAGCGCGCGTGCGGACTTATTCCGCCGCGCTGCGGCGTAGAAAGTGATCGCCCACGCAATTCCGTCCTCAGCTCTTGCGCCGATTAGCGTTTGGTAATCGGTGCGATATAGCGCCGATTCAGCGTCGATTAGCGACGGCATAGCGTCGATGTAGCGTCGATTTAGCGTTGGCTAGCGTCGACGAGCGCCGATTCGCCAGCGCCAACGAGATTGCACGGGAGGCCCCCCCGATTTGCCCCCGAGGGGAGGGAGCCATCCCGTTCGGGAGACGATCTATTCTCATACTGTTGTACCCTCTGATCTGGTCAGACGCACGCCTCCATCGCACTTTTAGCACTTCCCTCTGCGTCCCAGGGCGCCCTGGGCCCCCCTCGCCCACCCCCCCCCCCGGCGGGCGGAGGAGGACATCTCCTTCGTCTACCGCGCGCCCTGGCCGTTCTGGGACCGGGACGTCCTGCAGCGGCGCTGGACCTTCCCGCTCGGCGGCGAGGGCTCCGGCTGCGTGGCGCTCGTCATGCGCTCCTTCCACGACGGCTTGCTGCTGCCGGAGCGGGAGGACCTCTTGTCGGGCGGGTGGTAGTGTCAAGTCGGGCCTGTGCCTCTACAGGAGGAAAAGTCAAAAATAGTAAAACAAATCGTATGGGGACGAGTTTTGTATTTTTGGTGCTATTTTTGAATATTTCCCAACCATCCTGTGGTGTTGGGTCCGCGTTTTGAAGAGATGGTGTCTCGTGTTTTTCTCCTCCTTCCTTCCTCCTCCTCCTCCTCCTCCTCCTCCTCCTCCTCCTCCTCTTTTTTTTGCCGGCGGTATGCTGCAAGCGACGCTAAAGAACTGAACACAGTACAATTACAAAAACACCCGTCCCACTCTCTTGCCATCAGGTCTGACGGCTGGAGCTTTGCTTCTTGGGTGTTTCAGCCCGGACTTCTGCGCGAGCCTCCTTTCTCAACGCGTCAGTTTCTTCCTGTTTCATGGGGTGACAATTGGCAAGACACCAGTCTCTGCACCGGGTCGGTCCTTCGCCGGCTCTCGACAAATGCGCGATCAACCGAAGTCTAGTGGATAATTTCGTGTGACATGAGGGGCACGTCGCGCCAGCACGTGCGAACAGCCGCATCGGGTTGCGAGCGCCGTGCTTGGATCTCATGTGGTTGAGGTACGCCTGGGACGTACCAAAGGCACGCCCATGACACTCGTGGCAAATGAAATTGCCAACATTCACTGGCCCCGCACTCGCAGGTCGATGCTTGTCACAAACCGTTTCGGCGAAACGCAGCTGGCCGATGAGTTCCCTCCACTCGTCCGGGCGGTGCACCATAAACTCACCAAGGGAGGTGATGGCAGCACGTTGCGGACGGCAGGCGCATTATTATAGAGAAGCAACATGTCCGCAGCGATCAGCCTCGCCCATGGCAGCCGGGGGCTCCCCTGCTCATCCCGGAGGGACAGCATGGCTTTCAGGGGGCCCGCGTCGGACCGTGCCAAACGGGCGCAACACTTCAGTCGGCGTTGAATAATGTCGCAATCAACTGACTGAATGTCATTTTCTGTGCGGGCGGCCAGATCAGACTGAGCGGAAGAATATCAAGGCGAACAGCGTCAACAATGCGGCGGGAATCTCCCCAGGTTTGAGCACGCGCACATGCACGTGAAAGAAAAGCCCGGACGACGTAAGGCTATCCCGAAACTCATGCTTCAAACGCGTCGGCAACACGGTGCTTCCGAAAACGCGCGTGCTGATCGGCGAATCTGCGGCCATCGCCTTGGAGGCACGGCCTTTCGCATATTTCGTGTTGCCGCCTCTCGCTTCGACCTCGCACCCAAGATGCGCACAGGCACGCACGAGATGCACTCTCACATCTGAGTCCGGAGCAATGGCCACGGGTCCATCGGTGGACTGCAGTGTCTGCCACAGATCGCACGCCCCGTTGCCTCTTAAGACAAGTATGCTTTCAGCTCTTCCTTTCCGAGAGTGAATCATCATGTGGTGCTTGGCGAGCACTGCGATGAGAGGCGTAATCCAGACATGAGCAGCGCGCAACATGGCACCAGGGGAATGCGCGAACAGAACAATTCCCAAGTCGTCGACAAATGCCGCTTCAAGAACTTCCTCATCCTCGCCCTGCTGGTCGGCCGGCGCCGAAGCCCAGAACGGGCTCTGAGAGCTCCGGACTCGAACGGTGATGCCCGCTTCGCGAAGAGGAGCAACGAGCTGAACAAGTGCAATGGCATAGCCAACGTTGAAGACCATACCGTCAAGCTTGCACCCTTGTCTTCCGCCTGTTGCTGTGTATGCAAAGCTTTCTGCGCCGTCCACTGGAACCACGACCGGGAGTGCAATGCAACGATCAAGCGCGAGAGCTTCTCAGGCGCACCCATTTGTGCGAAAGCATGCCCCTGGTCACGAATGTAATGGACGATCCACCATGCCGGTTCGGAAGTCAAGCCTAAATTGCACAAATCCTTATGCTTGGCTTCTTCCGTGTCCGGCACGTGCTGTGATGTGCTCCTCCTCCGCCTCCTCCTCCTCCTCCTTCTTCCTCCTCCCCCTCCTTGATTCTGTTTCGGCACACCCCTCGCACGCTTCGTGGCCCCATAGGGGGTTCCACCTAAGGTCCCAGTGGCGCATCACGCATGGCGCCTCCGCCCCATTTTTGGCACACCCTTCATTCGTTTCGTGGCCCCATAGGGAGCTCCATCTAAGGTCCCGGCGGCGCAGCCCGCATGGCGCCGCCGTCCTAGTTTGGCACACCTCTCACATGTCTAATGGCCCCATAGGGAGCTCCATCTAAGGTCCCAGTGGCGCAGCCCGAATGGCGCCGCCTCCCCATTTTGGCACACACACACACACACCTCACACGTTTGGTGGCACCAATAGGAAGCTCCACCTAAGGTCCCAGTGGCGCAGCCCGCATAGTGCCGCCGCCCCATTGTGGCACACCCCTCACAAGCTTCGTGGCCCCATAGGGAGCTCCATCCAATGGCGCAGCCCGCATGGCGCCGCCGCTCCATTTTGGCACACCCCTCACACGCTTCGTGGCCCCATAGGGAGCTCCACCTAAGGTCCCAGTGGCGCATCACGCATGGCGCTGCCTCTCATTTTTGGCACACCCTTCATTCGTTTCGTGGCCCCATAGAGAGCCCCATCTAGGGTCCCAGTGGCGCAGCCCGCATGGCGGCGCCGCCCCATTTTGGCACACTCCTCACACGCTTCGTGGCCCCATAGGGAGCTCCATCTAGGGTCCCAGTGGCGCAGCCCGCATGGCGCCGCCGCCCTATTTTGGCACACCCCTCACACGTTTCGTGGCTCCTCACGCGTTTTGGAGACCTTCTCTCGGTCTCGTGGGCTCTCGCTCTTGGCCGTCGGCTGTCCGGCGCGCTGCTCCCTCGGCCGACGTCGCCCAGGCGTGATCTTGGACTGCGGCCGCCACGAGGTGGGGAACGGCAAGAAGGAGGGCGACGCCTGGTGGCTGGAGCTCTACGCGCTGCTCTCGCGCGCCACGCGCCACGAGGACCTCCTGCTCATGCGGGCGCCGCGCATCGAGTTCTTCCTGGCAGGGCCGCCGGAGGGATTGCGGAAGCAGCTGGAGCAGTTTGCTACGCGCACGAAGCGGCGCAGGAGGGAGGCGACGGCCCTCGCCAGGGAGCTGGACTTCACCGAGTGTATCCGCAAGGCTTGACTTGAAAAGCGACCCGCGCGAGCCTCGCCGTCTCTCGACGGTCTGACTGTTTGGCTTCGCGCCGCGGGCAACCCGCGCGCGTCGCTGGGATCTCCTCGGGGCGACCAGCGCGCGTCGCGGGAATTCCGCGCCGCGTTCTGCCCGGAGCCTCGCTTGCCCCCGTCGTCTCTCTGCCCGGCGGCCACAGCCTTGCCCGCTATCAGCCAGCCAGCTAGCCCTCTCTTCTCCGCGCAGCGGACGACCCGCGCGCGTCGCCGGGGCCCCTTCAGGGCGACCGGCGCGCGTCGCGGAGGCTCCGCGCGGCGCCGCGCCCGCAGCTTCGGACATGGGCGCGCGCGGACGGAGAGAGAGAGAGAGAGAGAGAGAGAGAGAGAGAGAGAGAGAGAGAGAGAGAGAGAGAGAGAGAGAGAGAGAGAGAGAGAGAGAGAGAGAGAGATACAAAGTAAAAACAAAAAGGCGAATGAGACGAATAAGAAGAAGATGAATAATGATAAGAATAAGAAAAAAGAGAGAGAGAGAGAGAGAGAGAGAGAGAGAGAGAGAGGAGAGAGAGAGAGAGAAAAAAAACAAAAAAAATAATAATAACTAATAATAATAAGACAGAGAGAAAGAGGGAGAGAGAGAGAGAGAGAGAGAGAGAAACAACACAAAAAGAAAAAAATAACAAAGAAGAAAGAGAGAGAGAGAGAGAGAGAGAGAGAGAGAGAGAGAGAGAGATAAACACAACAATAGAGAGAGAGAGAGAGAGAAACAAAAAACACACATAGTGAGAGAGAGAGAGAGATAAAACAAAAAAGAAAAAAAAACAAAAAAAACAAAAAAGACGAGAGAAGAGAAGAAAGAAAAAAAAAAAAAAAAACGACAGAGACAGAGACAGAGACAGAGACAGAGACAGAGACAGAGAGACAGACAGACAGACAGACAGAGAGAACCCCCCAAACAACAACAACAACAACAACAACAACAACGAAAAAGGGAAGGAAGCGGGCGCGATCCTCGGGGGGAGCGCGCCGACATGGGCGTCGACGTTCATGCGCGCAGACTGATTCGCGCGCAGACTCAGTCACAATCGGACCCACTCGCGCTCAGTCTCTCGCGAGCAGACCGATCGTCTTCGCTCGCGCTGCGTGCTCCGCCGCGCATTTCGGCGCGCCCCTCGCGCGGTTCGCGGCCCCGTAGGGGGCGCGGACAAAGATGTGATTCATAATGCCTGTATTCACGACTGCGCGCGGTTGGGCCCTTCGCCGGGATAATTGTTGCATCCGCTTGTAAGGTGATATGCCCGACTTGATTGCATCGCGCGGGGGGGGGGGGGGGGCTCGCGCGGGAGGGGCGAAGGCTGAAGAGCGCCAGAAGGAACCCTAGAGGGCCCCTTCGGGGCCCATGTCTTCTGCCCCGGCGCAGGCCCCCCCCCCGCCCGATCATAGGCAGCGCCCTGTCGATGCCCCTCGCGAAGGGGGGGGCCACTCAGTCAGAGGAGTCGGCTGCGCGCGTCTACGATGAAGCCAGGCGCGTCCCTCTACCCTCTACAGGAGCAGCGTTCAAACACTGTCGACAATAATGCAGGGGCGAGATTTGTCGACAACTTCTGATTACGTTTGATTCGGCTCATCATTTTCAATTTTTTGCCACAATCCGCCTGTAGAGGGACGCGCACGACTTAAGCTTACGGGCGGCCCGTGCCGGAGAGACCTCTCGCGCGGGCCTGCAGTCGGGGGCGGCAGAGGGGGTGCGATGACCAATGGGGGGGGGGGGGGGGGGGGATATCACGGCGCGGGGGCCATGGCGTGTCTCCCCAGACTTCATGGCGCCTCCTTTCGTTTTACATGCGCCCCCTGGCCCCCCCTGGTCCGCGCGCGCGCCGCGGCCCATGATTTCCGCGCACCCCTCGTGGGCGCCCCCCTCTTGGACGCCCCCGACGCAGGGCGCCCCCCCCGCTCCCCGGCACCGGCCCGCGCGCGAGGCCGCGGCCCCCCCGCGCGGGCGCTGAGAGCCGCGCCCTCCGGAGGCCGCTCCTGCCCAGGGCCCCCCCCCCCCCCCCCTTCTCAACCCGCCCCCGCTCCTTCTCCTCGGAACGGGGGGCAGAGTTGCAAAGGGGCGGCCTAGGGCGAGGGCTCCCGGGCAACGGCCAGCCCCCCCATCCCAAAATTGCTTTTCCTACGGTTTTATTTGCGACGGCATAACATCTCCCAGCTTTAGCCTATACGCCGTCTCCATCTCTTTGTGGCCACTTACAGTTTCGGCGACGCGGCGCGCTCTGGGCCGCTGCGTGCCTTTCAGGCATCAGGTAGACAACAATGTAGCGATGAGGCATGGACAGCGGGGGTTCAGGAGCGGGCCCCGATTCCATAATATTACGAGGTATCCCTGTGGACTATTGGACACATCGCGGGATCTCACAGAGGAGACAAGCCCCCGTCGCTTACCATCGGCCCCCGCAGCCCATCTGGCTCAACCGCAGTTTCTGCGCGAACTTGCACTAGCGCGGGCATGGGGTGCAGGGCGCAGAAGGCTGCTCACGGTTTCGACCAGCAGCGACAAGCTATGGCCTCGAGACCGATGCGGCGAGCGGCTCGGGTACTACAGGGTGATGGAGAGCCACGGGGGGCGCGCCAGGAACGAGCCAGGACGTGAACAAGACCAAGGGGAAAGAGAAGCCAGTGGAAGAGGGCGTGCATCAACTGCGATTTGGCCCTTGGGCGCGAGGAGTGGTCCGAGTAAAGCGACGAGGAGAAGCTTCGCCACGGTGTGGAGAGGTACATCGCACAAGAACCAGTGAGCCGCCGTGATTTGGGCCAGCACGCAAGGGGCCCAGTTTGGACTGCTCAATCCATGGGGCAAATCCAGGCAGCGAAGGCGATCATCGACGCGGAGGAGCAAGGCAACCAGCCGAAGAGGTCGCGCAACCAGAGAAACAATATGGTCATCGAGCAGCCCATGGAGGCGTCGAAGGCATAGGTGGACGGCATCACGAAGAACGGGGGCATTGTTCGCGGCCGTCAGCAAGGCAGGGGGGAATAATGCTGGCCGCCCTGAAGTTGGCGGAGGAGCACGAAACTATGCCGCGCGAGTACGTGCTCATGGACACGGAGGGCGGGGGAGCATTGGAGTCAGTCAAGCAAGCGCTCGAAGAGAAGGAGAAGGAGCTGCAGGAGCACGGCAGTTGCAATACGTGCAAGAACATGGGTGCGTAGCATGCCCCAGTGCCTGAAGGCGCTTGGCTTCGCGGACAAGTTGAGCGTCAACGTGCAGTTGTACTATGTGCGCAGGGGCCGCTCAGGCTGGGCCGAGGACAAGGACTGCGCCTGCGCGCGCGGACTAGCCTCCCCCAACAAGCTGCGCCAGAGTGGCCCGAGCGCTAACTCAATCTCAGAGCAGTGGAAGTTCCCGTGCAGGGTGGATTGGAAGGCGCCGGTGACTGCCCGGGAAAGTTTCCCCAAGGACCAGCTCATGAATGCATGGGTGGACAAGATGTAGAGCAATTTCGCCGAGGACCACGCGAAGTGGCCCGAGATCGGCTGCACGTCGAGGCCCCGCCTGCGCCGCAACGGCCCGTCGACGGCTGCGGAGCATCTCAGGGGCGGCAAGTGGGGGGCATTTGCAGCCGAGAGGCTGCCGCAGAAGATCGACGGCCCCATCGAAGAGCACCGCCGCCAGTTCTTCGACGCAGCCCAGAAACTGAGCCCAGATGACCTGCAAGAGATGATCCCACCCGTCTTCCCGCTGACGCACCGCGCAAAGGGCGGCGAACAGATTGCAAGGTGCCCAGTGGACGCGTGGCAAGCAGCAGGGAGGAAGCACTCCTCGTCAAGCAGCTGGTGCGAGCTTGCAATGCGGATCGCGAAGAACGACCGGGAGAACCTGCAGAGCGTCGTGGAAGCATCCTGGAGGGTGCTGAAGACCATCGAGAAGCTTGAGAAGATGGAGGTCGAGAGGCTCAGGCGTCGTCGGGAGCGGCGCGAGAGCACGGGCACCCTGCTCGACGGCATCGAGATCTTCGAGCAGTTCGCCGTTTCAGATGGAGCGACTAGCTCCAGCGGCCGCGCGCGAGAGTGCCCGCTCGCACCCGCAGCTGCACTGGCGCGGGCGTCCGGAGTGAAGACCAGCGGGGCCTGCGCCGACAGAAGCGTCTTCTCCTGGAGCACCGACAGGTACCTATGCAAATGGACACAACGCCAGTGGGACGACGAGTGGAAAACGAGGGCCCCACAGAGACCGCTAGAGCACTCTCCTCAAAGCCGCTCGAACGCCGTGACATTAATGGCATTGCTCGCCCCTGCATACATGCCGACTGGAAGGGGGTCTTTCAGAGGTCAATCTTTCTGCTGCAGAGAATTTGGGCTCGGTGCATTGCAACGCAGGACTGCTGTCGGACACTACACTGCATGGTTCGGCCATCGACCAGGACGTCCAGGAAGCGAACTGAGTCTACAGCGGGAGGGGCTCTGTTAAAAGAGTGGGCCCAGCACGACTTTGGTATAATATTAATTAGACACCCCTGCACAAGTTTGGCACGAAAGGGGTCTCCAGCATTCCCTCTCTCCCCCACCCCCCCTGCGTCGTCGAGGCGAGGTCGCGTCGTCTCCCCCCCCCCAGCTTGGGAGCCCTGCTCGCCCAGCGCGCCCCCCTCGGGACGGGCGCGCGAGCGGGCCAACAGCCGCCCCCCCTTCACTGGCCCGTAGGGGCTAGCACTCTCACAAGGTACCAAGTCTTTCTTGCGTGGCCACCTCGGCGCTCGCCCCTTAAAGCTTCGGGGCGCGCCCCCTGCCGGCCCCGTGAGAAGCTTGGGTCCGCGGCAAACTTTATTCGCGGAGGATTTTGCAAGTCGTTGCGGGCGTTGCGACGTGGACCCCCTCATGCGGATGCCCTGTCCTGTTTTGTCCTCGTCCTTCTCCTCCTCTTCCTCCCTCCTCCACCTCCTCCTCCTCCTCCTCGTCCTCCACCTCCTTTTCCTCCTTGATCTCCTCCTCCTCCTCCTCCTCCTCCTCCTCCTCCTCCTCCTCCTCCTCCTCCCCCTCTTCGGGTCGCCTACGGCCCCGGGGGAAGCCGTGCATCTAGGGGGGGATGCCGATGCCGCCGCTCATCCTGCAGCAGTGGCCCCGTTTCCACGGCAGGGTTTTCGTTTTTGTGGTCCTTGGCCAAGCTCCTTTGCGGGAAAGGTCCGGGGAGTGGCGGCGGCAACGCGGGGGGGGGGATGCGCCGAGGGGGGGATAGATGCGGCTCGACGTTTTCGGGCGCTCGCGCCGTCGGCGGCTGTCCAGCCTCGGGGCGCCTTCCAGCGGCTGCGCCTCGCCAAGGGCGTTCCGGGAGTGCCCGGATGGTCCCGAACGGCCGCCGGAGATGCGACCCTCGATTCGAAAGCCCACGACTGGGGGGATAAACTCATGGTTATGATGTTCCAACCTACTTTAGCGTAGGTCTTCGGAACAAAAAACAATGATTGCGAGCACCAAGTCAAGAAAGTACCGACACTTGGATGTTTTGTTTTGTGCTGGGCCCTCGGAGGCGACACTGTTTCGACACTGCCTGGGTGTTCGAAATTATTGCTGGGATGTCTTAAGATGGGAGCAGCACGAGGTCAGGTGCCCAGTCATCGCCGCTAAGGGCCCGATCGCCCACCCCGCCCAGGACCATGCGGTCTCGGTAGCGGGGGCTTATCGCCCATCCATCTGCGATGCATCTCCGATTCCAGGTCGATATTTCCCCCCCCTGCGCAGGGTTCCTTGGCCTTCGCAACGGGCCCCCACTGGCCATTTGGGACTATCCGCGCACCTTCGGGACGCTCTGGGCGAGTCGCAGCTCGTGGAAACTATCCCGAGGCTGGAAAACCGCCGAGAACCGACGCACACGCCAGAAAAACCTCGAGCCTCGAACCCCAGGACCGCGTGAGGGCCTTTGTGCACAAGTGCGGCTACCTCCTCCGCCCAGACCGGGACGGCGGCAGTCTCGAGATCGCGGTGTGCCACCAGGTCGACATCGGCGGGATCTGCCCCGAGTGGGCGCAGGACATGCTGACGCGCTGGACCGTGCACCGGGGCTCCCAGTGGGCGACCGACCTGCGAGAGCACTGCCTCGAGCGTGCCCGGCAGAGGCCGGCGTGTCGGCAGAACACCGCCTCGAGCGCCGAGGAAGAAAACGTTGCACTGACACGAACTTTCAAAGCTCGGGGGCGGCCAACACGGGGGTGAGGACTAGGCGGGGGGGTGGAGATCATGGCGGGGGCCATGATACCTCCCCAGATTTCATGGCGCCTCTTCTGATTTCATCACGTCCTTGGCCCCTCCCCCCTGGGCCGCGCACGTGCCGCTTGCCATGACTTGTGCCCCCCCCTTGCCCGCTCCCGATAAGCTCCGCGCGGATCTCTTGCATTGGCGCTGGGCCTCCCTAGCGGCGCCTCCGGCGCCACCTCTGGCGCGCTCCGCGCGCCAGGGAGGGCGTCCCAGTGGTGATCCAAGAATCCGTGCGGACCTCCGAAAGTTTATGCTTATGCAGTTTTTTGTTCCTCCAGAGCGTTCCCAGCGAGTCCGACGGTGCCTGGGGGTGCGCTGTGAGCTGAGAAATCGACGCATGGCATGCCCATTCCCCAGGGGGAACATGTACCGATAGCGATATCCTTTGCTCGGTTTCGCCTTTTCGGGCCTCCTGGCTTCCCCTCGTCTCCGCGGCTGGATTCGCCTCCAGGCTCTGGGCAGGCGCACCCCGGGAGAGGTCCAGGGATCAGCGGTATCGGTATTCGAATTCCCCCCTGCTGCTGCTGCTGCTGCTGCTGCCGCTGCTGCTGCGTCTCTCGAAGAACATACCACGGCGCGGACATCAGGTGTCGGAGGCCCGAGCGGGTTTCCTGGATCGGTGCTGAGCCCCCATTCCTGGCGCGCGGAGCGCGCCAAAGGGAGGCGCCGCCAGGGGGCTCCAGCGCCGATCCGAGAAATCCTCGCGGACCTCCGAAAGCTTCCGATAGTGTCATCGCCTGTTCCCCGCCAGTTCCACCCCTGCTTTTCTTCCCCTACCCTAGTTCTCGGTTTGAGCGCACCGCGGTCGCACACGTCTCCGCCCGGTTCCTTCCTCTCTTCCCCCCTCTGCCTCTCACCTCCTCTCCAGTTCTGGCTGCGAGCGTGCCTGTCCTGTCCTGCCTGCCAGCCTGGCTCCTTTCTCGCCATCCCACGTGACCTCGCCATCTTTCTGGGGGCGGAAATCTGCGAAGCGCCGCCATTTTCGAGGGCTGCTGGGGGTGTGGGAGCATAGTGGGTACGACCCGCAGAATCAGGTTAGACCTCGCCAGCCCCGTGCCGGGGTGGTGCGAACTGGGAAACGGTCGCCACTTTCGAGGGCTGCTTGGGGGGGGGGGCAGCACAGTGGGTACCAGGCGCAGATTCAGATTCGACCTGCCAGCCCTAGGGGGGCTTTGAACCGCGAAACCGTCGCCACTTTCGAGGGTTGCTGGGGGGGCAACATAAAAAGGGGTACCAGGCGCAGATTGAGATTCAACCTCGCCAGCCCTAGGGGGGCTGCTAACCGCGAAACGGTCGCCACTTTCGAGGGCTGTTGTGGGGGGAGGCCGTCAACAGCGAAACGGTCGCCACTTTCGAAGGCTGCTGTGGGGGGGGGCAGCATGATTTGTATCAGGCGCAGATTCACATTAGACCTCGCCATCCCTGGGGGCTGCGAGCTGGAAAGCGGTCGCCTCTTTCGAGGGCTGCTGGGGGGGGCTGGCACAGTGGGCACCGGGCGCAGGTTCAGATTGGGCCTCGCCATTCCTGGGGGGCTGCGAACTATTAATCGGCCTGCACTTCCGAGGGCTGCTCAGGGGGGGCAACATAGTGAGTACCAAGCACAGATTCAGATTGGACCTGGCCATCCCTGGGGGGTGCGAGCTGCGAAACAGTCGCCTCTTTCGAGGGCTGCTGGCGGGGCAGCATAGGAGGCACCAGGCGCAGATTCAGACTAGACCTCGCCAGCTCTGGGGGGGTGCGAACGGCGAAATTGCCAACGCTTTCGAGGGCTGCTGTGGGAGCAGCATCGTGGGTACCAGGCGCAGATTCAGACTAGACCTGGCCATTCCATGGGGGCTGCGAATTTGGAAACTGTCGCCACTCTTGAGGGGGCCAGCGTAGTGGGTAGCAGGCGCAGATTCAGATTAGACCTCGCCAGCCCTACTCCAAATCCCTTATTAATCGTCCCCTGGGTCCGGTTTTTAAGGGCGTTTTTTTTTCTAACTCGGGGGGTCCGGTTTATTGAGGCGTTTTCATTGGATTGGAGCTTAGGGGGTCTAGTTTATTAAGGCGCCCCGTCGAAGAGGGGGGTCCGGAATATTAGGTCGCATTTGGAGGAGGGTCCAGTTTTTTAGGGGGGTCGATGAATAAGGGATTTGGAGTAGAAGGGCTGCAAGCTGCGAAACTGTCGCCACTCTCCAGAGCTGCTGGGGGGCCCAGCGGAGTGACGCTTTAGGCAGACTCATGCCGAGGTCCTTCCGTCCACGGCGCCTGCCAAGGCGGGGGCCCTGCACCGCGGAGTCACTGTCGACGCCGGGTTCAGGGACGAGAGGACTATGGACGACTCTTGGCCGCAACTTTAAGCTGTGCTGTCCGGGGCGACGGCGGTGGACAACCTGCTGATGATGCGAGGCCTCGGCCTTGCTTCCCTGGCCCGCGGCCCGCCCGCAGACCTGGCTGGGGCCCACGGGCGTTGAGCTCCCGCGACGAAAAGGCGCAGGAAGGAGGCAGAGAAGCTGGTGGGGGAGATACGCCTCGCTTGCTTCTTGCATTCGCTCTCAAGACCTGGTCATGCGGAGCGCCGGGGCGACATGGCGTGGGCCACGCTGCGTGTCCAGTTTGGCCACTGAATAACAAACGGCGTCGCCCTTTTTTCTCATCCCTCCGTCGGTCGGTTCCCATCGCGTCCTTTTCCTGCCCCTCGTTCCCGCCCCCATGTTTTTTTTTCCAAGCCTGGATCCTCAGTAATCGTCCTCTTGTTGCTGTCCAATGAGTCGTTCAACGCGCGCGCTTTTCCCAGGCAGCTCGCACAGCGAATGACGGCGCCGACGCTGCCGTTGTCCATGCAGATTTGGGTCAATTTTTTTTGCCACTTGATGCACATTGGCCGGGCACGTTACATTATGTTTTATCGCTACGGCACCGAAGCACGAACACAGCAGCGAAACACTGAATTCAAAGAGGGAGGAGGAGGAGGAGGAGGAGGAGGAGGAGCAGAAGGAGGAGGAGGTGGAGGAGGAGTAGGAAGAGGAGGAGGAGGAGGACGAATATGAGGAAGATGAGGAGGAGGAGAGAGAGGGGGAGGAGGACAAGCTAGGTGCGCTCGCGTCATATCTGACGTCCTACCCCTCCCTCCCATCCCTTACCATGGCGCTGATTTTCTCTATCCGCGGACGCGTGTCGTAGCGGACCTGTGGCTCCGCGCGCGCGTGCGTAGTGGGTGGTGGTGCGCGTGCGTGCGTGCGTGCGTGTGTGCGTGGTTGTGGTGGTGGTGGTGGTGGTGGTGGTGCTGTGCTGGTGGTGTGGTGCTGGTGGTGGTGGTGGTGGTGGTGGTGGTGGTGGTGCGGCGCGGTGGTGGCGGGCGGATGGGCGCGCGAGAAAGAGGCCCGCGCTGGGGCGAGAACGCCATCCTGAACGACGGAGGCCAAACACCGATCCGAAAATGAGGCCCACGCTGCAGCGGGAGCACGATTCGGAACGATTCGGGAGCAGAAATGAGGCCGGCGCCTCAGCGAGAGCAGCATTTTGAAAAAAAACGCATGCGAAAACCCGTTTCCCGGGAATCCTGTGTGTAAAAAAAAACAGTACGCGGGGGGGGTCGGCAATCTTCGGGACGCCATCAGGGGAAGTGGGAGAGTATTTTCATATTGTGCAATTGTGGAGGAGGAGGAGGAGGAGGAAACTGAAGAGCGGGAGGAGGAGGAGGAGTCTTGGGAAAAGGCGTTGGGTGTGTGAGGCACCGCACCAACTCTCGCAGTGCCCTGTTCCTCCTCCTCCTCTTCGTCCTCATCCTCCTCCTGCTGCTCCTCCTCCTCCCCCTCTTCCTCCTCCTCCTCGCCCTCCTCTTCCTCCTCCTCGCCCTCCTCTCCCTCGTCCTCGTCATCTTCTTCATCATCATCATGCTATTCGGCAGTCGATGCTGCATTGGAGCGGGGAGGCCCCCCCCGCCGGGCGGGGGTCAGCCTCGCCGCGTCGGCGCACCGCGCGTCTGGGTCTGGAGCTCCCTTCGACACCAGGTGGTGGTCCGCGACGTGGGTCGAGTTGGTGTTGTCGACGTGTTGGCGTTCCTTCGGGGCGTGGTGTGCAATACGGAATGTTTGAGCGGAGGACAGGGGACCGATGCCGCTGCCCTTGCCTCGTCTCCGCCACTTCTGGGGATCCCCTGGGGGACCCCGAGTCCGACGCCGAATCCGCACTCCTGGCGACGTCCAGGGAACAGCGATATGGGTGCATCTTGGTCTCCCCATGCTTGCGGCAACACCAAGGAGGGGGAGGGAGGGAGGGGAGGGGAGGGGGGGAGGGGGGGACGGGGGAGGGAAGGAAGGAGGGGGGAGGGAGTGAGGGAGTGAGGGAGGGAGGGAGGGAGGAGAGGGAGGGTGACAGCGCAATATCGAAGTGCAGACGGTGTGGGTGCGCCGAGCTTTCCCGTGGAGGCTCGCGGAGGCCCCCACGGGGCAGCCCGTGAAGCAGCGCGCAGCGTCACGTTTCTGTGCGGGGCGTGGGCATAACATTGCAACTCGGATTAAATCGGGCCTGTCTCTCTACAGGAGGAATATTCAAAAGTTGCCCAAACATAGTCCGGGGAGATTTGTTTTATGATTTGTTGTTTTTTAGATTGTTTTGAGTATTTGTTACCTGTCATTCAAAATCTGCCTGTAGAGGGACATGCCCGACCTAATG